GCCATGAAGGGGTTAAGTAACTTGCAAATTCAATTCAAATAGAGTCCAGAACCCTGGTTGTCCAATTACATCAGAATTCTCCAGACTAATACACTGTTGGTATTTCAGATGGTTTGGGGCGTGCTTAACGCCGGAAAGTTGCTGTCCAGAAATGGTCTGGTGCCTTTGTGAAATACCTTCCCATTACAATACGTGCATAAGGGCTGGGTGTTTTTCTACATAACTCTGCGAGGGCTTGCTCCAAAGTAATTGAAACAATTACTGTAACAGTCTCGAGAACAGACCTTATTCACTGGAAGCCATTTTCAGCCTAAACTGGCTTCGGTTGGTGATGGATTTTACTTCATACTTTCATTTTTCTCTCCAGTTTTTTAAATAAAAAGTTTACCGAGTTACAAATTCGATAGGGCTGACTTTTGAATGAAGTCTATTCTATCCTGATTATACAAGTGTAAATGGCAAACCAGGGACTCAAGGCACTCTTCAACTTGATTGAGCCAGTTCCATATTCCGACAGCGCATGCCCAAAATGATGAGGTTATTAGGATGGGCAGACAAGGTCTGCCCTATCAGCGCAACCATATGCAAACTCACAGTGCATGCTTTGTTCATTAATACCAACTGGTTCAATCACTAATGGCTTATCACACTGGATGACTGTCCACTCCTCAACATCTTTACCTGCAGCAGCTGCACTGCTGATCCTGACGCTATGCTTTGTTGGCACGTAAGGCAGCGTTGAAGGCATGGGTAATCCTGCCACTGCTTCAATAGAGTACAGGAATTCCCCAATGGACTCATTGATGAAGAGGATAGAGCACTGTCGCTTGCCAGTGTGGAAGGGGAGGAAGTCGACAGCGATGACTGCCGAGCCATGGCTGTCGAGCTGCAGAGACTGACGGGCGCAGTGGAAGGCACTCAGCTGGTTACCGTTGTCCTCTGAGTGGGTGAAATGTGACAGATTATTACATGATGTCTTGGATACTGCAATTTAATTGGCCAAGGCCCGTTACTTGAGACTGTTTCAAAGAGAGGGCGTGGGTACATAAAATTCCGTTGAAGCATTCTTGATATTGTCCTTCTTGGTACATTTCAATATTAAACATTCTTCTTTGCAGTTCCATTATGGAAGAACTTCCCTGAGTGTGCAACTGTTTAACCAAACAAAAATTCAGACAGATTGCAAAGAAACTTTGGAGATGTTGAAACTACATGTACTTTATGTATTAACCTTGAAACATATTACACGCATAAGGCTTGTTTCTTTTAGCCTAGGATAAGAGTCTTACAAGGGTGTATCTATTCTCCAAAGAGACACTTTGCACGTAATCGGAGATAAAAAGTGGAGGGTATAAAGTATTGAATAAGTTCAGGAAAACATGGAGGGTGTGATGGACTCACGTTCAAACATTTCCGTCCTAGGGCTCTGATCATCTTGCTTTGGTGGACTAGGGGTCCGCTCCTTCTTCTGACCGTGGTCTGTCTTAGAGCGGACCTTCTTGGGACCTCCTTGTTTCTGGTTCAGCAGGCCTGTCTTCTGGGTGGTAGCATCAGAGCCAGGGAAGGGACTCTTGGCTTCCACGAGGACAATGCGGAACTCTCCGGCCTGGTTAAATGGGTTGGTCACCTCCAACTCGACCTTGTGAAGCTCGTAGCAGGGAGACTCACACTTGACTGTTGTCTGTGTCAACAGAGAAATCATGAGAATACCAGATTATGTCATCTCTCAACAAATCTGTTGTTCAAAGTTGTGACCAAATCTCACAATATGAGGCTTAATGCCATTTTTTTTCAGCAATTCTGTTTTTAGCTGCCACTGACAGAGAAAACGCAGCTTTTTGTTTGATGTATCACTCAGTTTGGCATCCTAGTGACAGAGGACATTAGCTGGGTGAAAATGTTGAATGTGTTTCTGACATCAGATTCTTTTAAAGCCCTTGAATTCAAAAGAGGCCCTGACAACTTGTGATTCAATTTTAAGGTTGGATCACATTTAGTTTACAGCCTCAGCTGTTGGTTAAATTCCTAAAGTTTGTGATTACGACTGATGTCATTTGAGCACTCTTCCATTTCATTTCAAAGGGATCACAAAGAAAAAATTGAAACTTACAGAGGGAGTAATGTTATCAATTGAAGTCCTCAGATTGAATACTAATGTAGTACCACAAGCAGCACCAGCCCTCCTTCCAACGAGTACCAGCACGCCCTCTGCGGGTCGCAGGAACCGACTGGTGAACTCTACGGCTAGATCGTGCTTGCCCCGGGGTGCGATGTTGACCGTATTGCCCTTGGGTAAGGTGAAGTCACGGGCGTCGCGGCCGGCTATCATCGCATGGTACATCAAGGGTTTGTTGCTGGGGTTGGTGAGACGCACCTTGGGTTATGTACATGGAGAGGCAAGTGATTACAAACGGTGTGACAAATATGGTCATGTGTATGTGACAGTTATGAGAAGGGTATACAAGGAATGCTTTTAACAATGGATACATCCCACCACCATTTGGTACAATGCACAAACAGGTTTATAGGAAATCTTTGCATTTGTTGGTTTGAACTTTTACGCTACTAGAGCTTAAAAATTATAGAAAAAAAATGGGTTCAACAAGGTTCGTGCAGAGATGCATCTGATAGTAAATGGAAACCCACCTGACGTGCAACACAGGCATGCAGTGATCCCACAAACTCAACAGTGGTCCGTGGTGTGTACTGAGGAAGGCGCTGGTACAGATGAACGCACAGCAGCAGCAGGGAAATAGGGTTGGGATCAGTGACATCTATAGCCTGCCAAAATATCGAAAATAGACAGATGTTCAAACAAAGGCGAAATAGTCTGACTACTGACTAGCTGGGAGGGCAATGGAAATAGTACATATGAATGAACTGCAGTAAGAGAGAAAAGAACTGCAGTTATACCATGATCAAATGGTATACTACTAGAAGGGAAATAGTCCAACTGTTGACTGGCTATGGTCAATATACTCAAGTTCATAGCAATAAAGGCACCAAAATTGGGTTAATGTGGTATATCTAAAATCAACACATAAATCTGTACACTCTCCTATTCCAAAAAGAAAACTAAAAAGTAAGAGTATTTCCTCGTTTCTACCGACCTGAATATCATAGTCCAGGCCAATATATCTGAATGCATTGACCACTTTGAGGGCATTATGAAGGCACTGCTCAGCAGTGGCTGGCTGGGTATACATGCTCTGTAGATGGCTCTTGATCTGAGACAGAAAAAAATCAAGGACAACGAAAAAAAAAGGATGTTTATCTCACTGGATCAGGACATTCAGTGAAGGAATCTCTTAAAACACTGCAGACACTGTGGGTGTGCTGTATAATATATATGCCAGTTTTCAAGCTCATGTTGACAATACTATCAGATATAAGAACTGTCCTGGGTGGAGGGTACATGACACCTGATGAAATAAACTTCCAATTGGTTAGGTAGGTATCAAAATGGTGGGGTGGGGGCTTTTCCCCCCATGGCATAAGTTTGGTAAACAAGCAAGGAGATGATGCAGAAACGGATGTGCCACTGACAAAAGAATCCCACAACAAATGAAATGAGTTGGATTGTCATTGTTTGGTTTCCAACTCACCAGGAAAGGAACGTGAGCAGCCAGGACGGCGGCTAGCACCAAGCCATCCAGGAGATCATAGTCAAAGTTGACGACCCATCGAGAGGGTGGAATACCACCTGGTTGGATAACAAAAGAACAAGAAAACACTAATACACACTGCATTACAGAGGTGGACACGCTGACGATTGAAAATGATGAAAATGCACACTGAAATGGGGGGGGGGTTGTTTGGAATATGACAGCACCGAGCATGAACGATGGTAATGGTTGGCAAAAAGGAAGTGGATGATATGAGATGCATGATTCCTACTGGCATGATTGGTACACATTCAATGGAGACATTCCTGATAAATCCAAGGCAGCAATATAAGCAGCATCTGCATTTGCAATGAAAAGGCAAAAAAGTCTACCAAGAAAACCTTGCAGACCACATGCGTGACCTCTTCTTGTGAGTCAAGTTACAAAATCCTAGTCATCAGACAAGACACAGAATGCTAAACAACAGCCTTCTAAAGAAGTTCAACACTGTTACATTCACTTGACTGTAGGTCCCTAGGCCGTAGAAAATGCATGCCAAACTTCAAGGACTAATTGAGGGACCACCATTCAACAGATCTACAGACAATGCATAAATTTCAACTGTACTTTCATTTCGAGAGGAAATTACTCTTCGCGGAGACGACACTGCAACAGCTCTGCAGAGAAATGTTGCTGTGGAAAACAAGCACAAACCAACCCTGCACACCAACCTAATGCCTAAGCAAGCAGTTTCAACCAAGCCACTAACAACCTGAAATCATGAAGCTGCATGAATATGGCATTCTGCATTTTGCAATAGGCATCTACAGCAGTGTCCCACACACCAGCAAAGCATATAGACATGTATATATATTGCATTAACTCAACCACAGCTAGCAAAAAGGCATCAAGTTACCTCGAGGAGCTTCAAAATAATATGGCGACTCTGCCAGGAAAAGGAATGGGAGAAATCATAATGCATATCAATGGCCTCTTTGTCTCATCACAAGAAATAATCTGCGAGTGGGCTATCAATGGCATACATCAAGTTCCTTTTAACCTTTCTCAAGTTGCAGTTCAGGTCACGAAAGCAAGCTGGCAGTGTGAAGCATTTTTTTGTATTTCAAAATTTCCAAAACTTGAAGATTTAAAATGTGGTTTACTTTGAGGAAATACAGGAACAAACTCGGAGAAACACAAGCCCCTTTAACTGTTTTCACAGAAGCTAGCAGGTGATTTGAAGGATTTTTTGTATTTTGTAGTTCGAAAATTTGAAGACAATGGTTACTTTGATACTTTGACGGAGACGTACCTTTGTCACAGTCTTTCCATATCTTGTGTCTCTGCTGTTCATAGTGATGGTTCAGCCAGGCCAGTAAGATACGCTCTCCTACGCTGTAAATGTTGCTGCATAGCGGATCCGGGTTGATGGAGGGCAGACTGGAGGAACTACCGGAGGAGGAGAGAGCTTTGAACTGACGGGGCGTGATGCGGGCAAGCACCAGGACCTACAGAGAGAAATAAATGTTGAAAATAACAAACACACTGGAAACGGATCACAATCAAAGCTGCAATCATGTTTTGTTGACTTCCAATTTCTTCAAAGGAAAGCCCCATCTTGCATCAAGAGTTCAAAGTAGCTTGCTCTAAACCAATTCAAAGATGGACTCTTCGTTGATCAAAGCAGCATCAGATTTTAGGGAGAAAGTAGAGCAGCCTGCTTAAGACACTGTCAAAGAACTATTCAAAGTCAATCATGAGATCGTCTGCCCAAGACTTTTCTGGTGACAATTTTTAGAAGCAACCAGCAAAGAGTTCCTCTGGGTTGAAGAAAGTCTGTCCTTTCCCAATCAACTTGCTTCTAATCCCGAGAACATCTCACCTTCAGTGTCTGGAGCAGCAGATCGGTCCAGGCCCTCTTGGAGACAGACTCAAAGAGGATCTCATCCAGAGGTGCCTCCTGGATGCGGATGGCCACAGTGCTCTTGCCTTGCTGCTGAGCCTTCTTCCTCTCTCGGATCTGCTCCTGCAGCTTGACCCAACGCTGGTAATCTTGGGGTTCAAACAGGTACTCTGGCTTGATGTTGGCGATAGATGCACCTTGGCTCCTGCAAGTTGCAATTCGTACAGAGATCAATAAAGAAGCTCTTTAGACTTATCCAAGGAGATGCCATAACTGCTGGGTAACACACTCCCAGGTGAGTTCTTAGGCTCGATGGGGGCATGCTTGTGACAAATCACAACACCCTATTGGTTGAAGAGGCATGTAACATCTTTGTACCACCTGTCCACGAGCACTGTGCCTCCATAGCAATGGCTTCCAATTCTGGTTGTCAAATTACACTACATAAGTTTTCTGGATTTTTGTCTTCACTAGAACCCACTCATTATTACAATACACCACTGTCAGCCTAACTGTGACTTCTGGCAAATAATTCACTGATCAATTATTAGATTGAGATGATTTTTGATACCTCAAGAAAGTCAGCAGCGTAGAGTGTTGCCAGTGAAGCTGCAGGACCCTCTCAGTAGGGTCTGCAGGCAGAGCTTGGTTGATGGGGATTCCAGGCACCAGACGACCACTCATGTGAGCCATCAGGTCATAGATGGTCTTGCAGCGACTACTCTTGGAGTTATTGGTGGCAGGGCTTCCATGGGAGGCTTTGTCACGGGCTTTCTCGGGGGCTGAGTTCTTGGCAACTCCACTTCAATGACGAAAAAAATTTGACCAAATTCAGTTTGCTTTTCCACATAGTTTGCAACACTTGCATAAAAATTGATCAAAACAGGTTATGAAGGTAGTAACTTTTTAACAATGAGAGAGATTTGACTGAAAAAACAAATTGTCAAAACTCTCACAGTCTACTATGACCTGAATCAGCTGCTTTCTGTTCAACACGTACATTACTTTTGCAATATCCTCTGTTTCCTTGCATAAGAAGTTGCATCTACAGATCGTGACTTTAAAAAGCAATCCTAATTCAAACTTAGCCTCAATATGATACAGATACCAGATCAAGAGTTGATGAACAGCAGGGTCACTGTTGTCATAATGACCTTTAAGGAGTCAAGGTCAAAACGTTGGAATACCTGAAACTACGTGAACAGCCACTGCAGTGTGTAATGTATACTTCAAGGCTAAAGTCAACCTTTAGGTCAAAGATTTGAAGGCTTCAAGATGGTTGCTCATCCCAATGTAAGTAACGATATCAGTTCAACTTTCCCACCTCCTGAGTCCCTCCGGCATAGAGACTGGGTTGGGGCCCCCGGACCATCCATGCAGCGTAATCCATCTCTGTACAGCCATCAGGACTTCCTGGTGGAACACCCCTTCCTCTGTGTCTTCATTAGGGAAGGCAGCCGAACCCAAGGATCGAGAAGCTAGACCAAGCCGGCTCTCTGGATCGATGATGGAGCGGTCGGCTACCGCACGGTTGACGGCACCATCACGGGGGGTACTGCGATAGGTGGACTCTGCCAAGGTCAAATCGGACACCACATTTCACGAAAAGCAGATTCAAACGTGAACTATACACAAGAAAATTCTGTCATGCCAGTATTTTTGAACAAATTCACATTTTAATACAAACAAAACTGCTTGTCACTTTCATGTTCTGAATTTCTTGCAACGTATGCATACTTCTATTCACTACTACAGGGGGTTACACGTTGACAACATCCAGCTAAAGAACCAGTATGTCAAACCTTCCTATTTCATGCATTTGTCAATCAATAATTAAATGGTTAAATAAAGATTTCCACAAATTGTAATAAAAATTCACCAAAAATAAGGTATTTTAAAGTTAAACAAAGTTGGAGAGTTTTTGATTTAATTTTCTCTTTATTAAAGCAGGCAATGATGTCATCAGAACCAATTTGGTAAATTTCAAGCCATCCTCATCTAACCTGTGATGCTCTCGGTTGATTCTTCGTAAGTTGACGTGGTCGCTCCAAACCTTGAGCTTGTGCTCGCTGAGCTCCTCTGGGTTGAGGGTCTGCTAGGCGACTCAACGGGGATCATGACGGCTTCCCCTACGTTCCCCAGACTCTCTTTGGAGTTTGCCGTGGAATGGCGACCTCGCAGGGTCTGACCCTGCTCTGTGACAATCTGGAAGTCGGTGCGGTGCTGGGCTACGAAGGGATAGGCCGTCAAGAGACAATTGTCGGCTGTGGCTGTCACTGGAATGGAAAAACTAGAAGAGGGGAGAAGTTTTCATGAGAAAATGTACTTCTTGAGTCAGAATGCAAAGTATCTGGTTTAAATTCTAATGATGAAGCAACCTTGGTGACTCTTTACCCCTATTTAAGCCCTTTCCACATCTATGAGGATCCTTCCTGAAATTTGCACTTTCGTTACAGTAAATTTCAAGGGCATCAAGTCCCATGTGAGGTAATAGTGGTTAGGCTTTGCTATTCTCAATCCTGTGAAACCCTCCAAAACCTCTCAGTGGATTTGAAAGGAATTTTAGGGTTACGTTTACAGATGCTAAGTTTAGTTTCAAACTGATCACGAATGCTGCATGCACATGGCACATAAACTTTTCAATTAACTTGACCCCAGCAGAGATCATCAAAGCTCGAATCAACACTGATGTCCCACAACAAGTCTCTGACTGGGATCCAGAGTGTTACGATCACCTACCTGTTCCCCTGGGTGTCGACAAACTTGACCGGCTGGGTGAAGGACACCGGTCTAGGGGAGCAGAAGGTGACTTTACACTTCAAGATGAAGGGTTCCTCGTCTCCTTCATCCCCACAGCAAGGTTGGATCTTCTGGCCATCGGGGAAAGTCACGCTTAGAACAGACATCTTACTGCCATCGTCCAGTTCAACATCAGGCAGCTCAACATCAATAACTGTCTCCCTAAATCACACAAAATTTCCAATTTATACAAGATGTTTTCAACATTTGTCGATGGTCTACGGCAAAACTTTGACCATCATCACAGATTTAATTACATACACCCATAGCTGTCTATTCTGGACAAGTCATAACAATGTCAAGAGTTCTTACTTTCTGAAGCCGGCCGCTTGGATGGTGAAGTCAGCCGACACCTTCGTGGCCAAGGGAACTGGGGTCAGGACAATAGCTAAGGGGTCAAAGGTCAACTGCGGTGACTTGAGGACGCCATAGAGGTTGATGTGGAGGTAGGGTCGGGATTCATCTTCGTTGAGGATGATGGGAACTTTGGCATGAAATTCTCCAGGCTCGTCTGTGTGGACGGAAAAAGATAAGAGCAAAATCACAATCAAATCATAATCTGAATTAAAATGCACTTTGAATGGAGAAATCTCAATTTACATGAGACATATTTAATCAGCATCTTAGAAATATTACAGAGGAGAGGGTTTTACTAACCTGGACAGAACATGACACCAAGGGGGTAAGTTTCCCCTGGTGCTAAGGTGTCTTTGACACTTCCTCCGCCTTCTTTAAGGGACAGGAATGGCATGCCGTTAGGCATCAGGAATCTGAAGATGCCTTCTTCCATGGCTTTACCGCAGCTCCTCAAGTCCAGACTCCACTTCAAGTTTTTGTAGCTGTTGTTAACCAGCAATGTCCCCTGTGTCTGAGACGGGGAGCCGGCGACTCCAAAGTCCAGGTACCCGGACGGCAGGGAGAAATCCAAGTTGGCATGCGACAGCTGCAGGGGTTGACGCAGTGCCGTGGCGACGATGCGACGACGCGGGGTTGCCACAGTGACCACAACGGGCCGTGGGGTGATGATGTGGTTAATGCTCTTGGTGGAGGGGGCAGGAGTGGGCGGGAAGGGTGTGGATTCTGGAGTGGGGGCATCGGTCTGGTTGATGGAGACTGGCATGGTGAAGTCGTAAGATGCGACCTCAGTGGGTTGGAAGTTTAGTTGACACTGGATAGTCTGCATGCCGCCCACAGTCACCTTGTAAACACCTGGGTTCATAGTATCCTCCGATTCTAAGCACGAAAAGATAACAAACAATTTTACATAGATTAGAGGTTGACTGCATTATGTCATACAGAAATGAAGAAGTCAATTTGGGAACAAGGAAAAGCGGCTTCGTTACCTTCCATGACGTCAGCGTCAAACTTCAGAGAGAAGTCTCGGTAACGTGAGAGATCAAAGACCACCTTGGCTCTAGTCCTGGCTTTGTTGATGAGTTTGAAGGGCACTGTCAGACTGGATGCACAGTAGACGCCACCAAGTTGGAATGTCGGCTGAAAAAAAAAGATGAGAGTTTTCTTACTCCAAAGCATAATCACAACCGCGATTACTTTATAAATGACAAATATCACATTGACTTCAAAGCCTTTGTAGCCTGGTACCATGTTACTGACGATGCTCAAGAGCATGTGTTGGGGTACAGGAATCAGATAAAAGCTCCCGCTGGTAGGAATGACTATAGAGACAACTATTAGGCTGCATCCAAATCACTTGACCATGGCATGAAATTACACATTACTCACTGGGAACTGGCCAGGGCCACTACCAGTGACTAGTGAGTAATTTCTAGCTGCAGCTAAGTAATTTGGACACGGCCTAACTGACACATGGAAGCGATCGGTAGTGAAGAGATGGATGGAATACTTATAAGTAATGGCAGATTTCAGACTTACCACATCAATGTCTACCATGGGAGGTTCCACAGTGCCTCCCATCCTTAGCTCGATTGTCTTCCAGCCTCTGATAGCCACCTCAAGCCGGGTGTCAAACTTCATGACGGCTCCCGGGGTAAGGTAGATACCCAGCTCAGTAGTGCCACCCACCGGGACCACGCCCTGGACTGGAGAGACTGTCAAGCCGGGCACTGGGCTGGGATCCACTACCTACGAGACAGGAGAAGATTTGAAGAAATTGGGTCAAATCACCGCGAGTTAAATTCCCAGAGGCGCGTTCATGACACAACAGTTCTCTGTTAGATATCCGGCTTGCCTTTTTCTTGGCATACATCTAAAAAGCTACCATGAAAGCACAGTTTTGCTGACAACTGCTCAGTATTCCATGGACTGGTAAAGATATACGCCAAACAGAAAGTATGCTAACGTTTTTCACTATACAGCAGAACACTGGTTTAATAGTGAAATATTAGACACATGCTGGGGATAATGACATGGTGTGGTACCTGGAAGTAAGCATGGTTCTGGCTGGCATTCTGCAGTACAGCTGACCTAGAGGTGGTCAGATGAAGAGGGACCTGACCAAACAGTACACGTCTCTCCATGAACATCACCTGAGTGGGACCAAGCTACATAAACCAAAAACATAATCACAAAATCCAGTCTGAAACTGTTGAAACATCTCTTAAAAACATCCAAGTCTGCACACATTTCAAAAACATTCTAAAAACAGGCTTTTTTCACTAAAATTTTAACTTCAATACCCAAATAGTTTGATTACAAGTTTGCATATTCTTAGTCTCTTTACACGACTCAAGCAGACTAAATATGGACATTGATAAAACTTCTCCAAACACAAAACTGTAAGAATTTTTGTGAAGGAATGGCAAGATCTCCTCAGAAAGCGAAATGCCAATAAAAACACTGATTGTCCATAAAATCCATCTCACTGACTGAACTTACATCAGCAAAGCATTTGAGTTTAAGCGTGTCTCCGCCATGGACTTTCAGAGCAAACTCTCCGTCCTCTGGAGCGTGGTAGGACGGATGGAATACCACTTCACACTCCAAGTCCTTCTGAGGGTCCACAGTGCCTGAAACAACAATTACATTAAACAACTGACTTGAGGCTTGTACATTTTCCAAGGTGTTACCGGCAAACAGCTGAGTTGTTCTTGAAGGTGTGGACAGGGGTTTTTTCTAGTCTGTTATCTGATATCATTTTCCATCTCTTAATTGATTAACCTCTTTTTATTAAGACTTTTCAGTTTCAGTAATTACTCATTTACATCATGCATTAATTTCCATTCAGGCCACTTTGCCATTGCATTTTTTTTATTGTGTAACCACAGGCTGCCAATTTCATGTTTAAGTTGGCTTGAACTGAAGTGAGCTTGAGTCATGGGTTGGACATACCAGAGGCGGGTCTGATGGAGAACGCTGTGCCCCTCTCGCCCAGGATGGGTTGCCATGTGAACTCTGCTGGATAGTTACGGGAATTCCGCAGCGTGATGATGTCCCTCAAGCCTAGGTATAGACAAATGACAATGCTATCAGGACACCATTTATAGAGTTGCTAAGTAGGAAATGTTGAGCAGGAATTGAAGTGTACAACAATAGTCAGCAGAGAACCGGTTTCAAGACACATGAAGCGCATCATGTGTAGGCCGGTAACCGGATTTTGCTGAGCATTTTTCTTGGCTTAGCAACTCTACTGCATTGAACACAACGCTTTTCCATTTATGAATGTAATGTAACAGGTAATGTATTCACATCAGTTTCTAAAGGCTAGTGGAAAAAGCAATGACAAGCTAGCTGAGGTGGGACTCTAACCCATAACCTCCTACTTAGCGGTGTAGATGCCTTTTAATAGCAATTCAGGGTTGGCTGATGAATTCCAATCTGATACAACTGTATTAGGCCTGTAACAACTGAGGACATTAATTACAGATGGCTCTAGTCTGAAATCATTGAGTTGGATAAGTAATAAGCACTTTTCGACAAGTCCTAATTGACTGGGTTTGGTCAGTAGATAATAGTTGTCTCACCTGCTTCTGCTGGCATTCCTGGTGTAGGCCTGAGTTCTAGCCTCTCTGTAGACAACTCCAATGCCACTGCTACGACATCAGCATAAACTATTACATGTTCCTTGTTGGCTTTGTTGACTGTGTAAGTCACATTCCTACAGACAAGTACGGATAACACAGCATTACGAGAAATAACAATGACTTATGACAATGTCAACTCACTTGCAAAAATACTTAGACACTACTAAACTTCGCTGCCAAATCAGGTCAAGAAAAAATGGCTCTCATAAAAAACTTGGACCAGTTAGTTTTGGTATTAACATAAATAAATTATGATGAAAAATTTACCTGATTTATTACGAGATAATCAGAAAGAAAATACAATATAAAAGCGCTACATTAGCTTTGAATGAACCCTGATACATGTCCTTGTTTTCAAAGGTTGCAAGATTTCTATAAAGTTGACATTTATTTTCAGTGTCAAGACTGAAACCTCCTGATGAAGAAGCACAAAACAAACTTTAAACATGTTCAAAGTACTTACCTCTGGAAACGTCCCTTGGTGTTGGACTCAAAGATGAGTGGAAGCGCTGCCTTGCAGTTGGGAGGGACAACTTGAGACAGGGGACTGGTCTGTCGCAACTCACGACAATCAATCTAGGAAATCAAGGCCAAATGTTCCAATGCTAGCAGTTCTCTTTATCTCTGTGCCTCCATCAAATTCAATCACAAGTCATTCTTTCTACTTTCTTTTTCAAGGATGTAAACAATAAAAACAGAACTTTAAAAGAGAAAGAAAATCAGTCAAGTAAAAACAGAAAAATGGAAGTAAAATTCAGTTTCAAGTTATCTAATTCAGGGGACTTAGCCAACTAATTTTTAAGCTCAAAAGCTTTGCTGTATGTACTTACATCAACTTCAACGTGGATGAACTGATCTAGATTGTTGATGATGTTGAGCTTCTGTACGCTTGTTGACTTGAGGCACACCTGGCCAAAGTCTATGGTTGGTGGACCTGTATATTATTTTACAAAAGCATGGCGATCAGCTACAACTTATCACAGTGGCAACTTGGAACTATCTTAAATAAGAAGGAGCTGCCACTATGTTGGACAATATACTATCCTGTGCCCCGACCTTTTGCCGGGATGTATAATTGCTACCAAAATTTTCCCTGGCACAAGGACATATGTATGCAATTGTTTTATTTTAATGAAATATAAAGATTTCTTTGCAAATAGTTACAAAACAATTTCCCAAGTGGTTTGATAAGTTGGTCAAAGGTTGCTTTTTGCAAAGCCTGTGTCGATTTTATGGTAAATTCTCTCCGTTTTTACTAAATAAAGAGAGTGTGTTTCTTACACCCTTTTACCGGGAACATTTTTTCTACTGTGATCATGCTCAAGGGCAAAAGCACATAAGTACGCTTACGACCTTTGGCCGGACACATGACGATAAATAAAACAAGCTTTGTCAAATAATCTTCATACTAAACATTTCTGGATCATGGTCTTTAACCTCTATGGACACTGACCGCAAGTTAAAAGACAGACATGCACGAGTAACTGATAGCTTACCAATGACCACTTGATGCAGCTGTTGTGGGGTTAAGATCTTCTTACAATCAGCCTTCTCCTGGGGGGTCATGGGCACAGCATTCAGTCCACGGCTGAAGGGACGAGATGTGGAGCTCAGCTCCTTCTCAGCAAGTTGCTTGGAGCTCAGCATGCGACGAGATTTGTCTCGTGGACTTGGTGCTGTCAAACGCATAACACATGCAGAAACAGTTTAGCCAGACAATTTATGAAGTCAAATCTCTGAATCTAAGTACAGATGTGAACTATTTTTTTTCAAATCTCAGGCTACAAGCTCACTCTTAACAGGTGGTTTTATCTCTTCTAGTTTCAACTTGGACAGTTTCAGCCCAGACGCCGGTTTCAGGCCAATATCTTTGTCGTTGTCCAGCTCAAGAAACTCCCTGAAAGAAACAAGAGAGAGAATAAAATCTCAAAACACTTCTTCCTCTTACGTCAGAGCTGATGGTATCAAACCTAAAAAATTCCCATTTTTCCATCAATCGGAGGAATGAAGACCTTCAGGGATATGCCAACTGCAATCCCACCATCTATAACTCTTTTATTGATTTGTGTCTTAAGATTTTTCATTTGCACTTTGACAAATCATCAATAAGATGAAACTGAAGAAACACATCTTAAGAAACGGAATTTCTGTGAAGTGGATAATGTTGAAAACGAACTTGAAAATGGGTAGAGTGCAATATGTGAAACAAAGATTGATTTGATGCCATGGAGAGACTGCGTAGGTATACAAGTAGTGACAGATGAGAATGAGATCAAGACAAACAAATGAAAAAGGAAAAAGGCATTTCTACATGCAAGTCCATTCTAAATGCAAGAGCATTACTTGAAAGACAAATTAAGTATTTTCAGAAATACTTAACTTAATGGACTAAGAGAGTGAAATTTAGCCCTATGGATGGGTCTGCATTTGTACAACACTTCACTCAGGAAATGAAAAGAGCCTTCCGGACAAATCCTGATACGAGCGGGGAAAGGGGGAAGGACCAATCAAATGGACCCCTGCCCTAAATCTCTTTCCCCATTCCAGATTCTGCACCTGGCTATGGTAGCAATGAGCAGCTGAATTCAGAAGTAAAGGCTTATTAATGATATTGGCATTAGCAGCAAATAACGCAAAGATTAAATGAACCATCAACCTGCAAGGGTGCGGTTCCTGAACTCGTTGCCACCTGTCAGATATAAGCACAAATTGCTAAGTAATTGATCTCATGAAACTCCGTTCAGCGATATATTCTATTTCCTTGTCTTACTTAAAACCTCAAACATCAATTCACTTGGAAATTGGTAAATTTTTTTAATTAAACATACATACCTTATTTCCATTTATAAAATTGCTGACAGAGAGAGTTAGCTTTTATAAGTAAAATTTCACGAAAATGCATGTATCCAGCTGGACCGATTAAAAATACAAATCACTTGTCTTAACATTTGATTTTATTCCACTATGGAAAAGATAACTAGCAAAGAAACCAATTACTCACCGCTTTCAGAGGCCAACCTACCTGGCTTTTGTCTTTCCAATCCTACGTTCTCTGCTCTCTTTCAGGTAGCTATTGTAGATATTCTTGTGCTTCTGAACAGCAGCCAGTTCAACATCATCATAGGCATAGTCTGGGTCGATGTATGTGTGACGTTCCGTCTTGGTAAATATAGTCCTGCATATCCAAAATGACAAATCAGAAAAACATCAACATATTGAAGAGAGAGTCTTCAATCAACATCACGTCATATTTGGATTCTATCCCACATTTCATTTCTTGCTCGCAATGAAATAAAACGCTAAAATACAAATATGTTTAATGGCTACATGAGATTCCGCCTAAACTTTGTCCAGATTCTTTGAAAGACATACAGGCAAATTTAAGACCAAGTCCAAATTATTAGACTTTGGCTAGAAGTCTTACATTTGTCCCTAGGAAATGCAAGTAGCCGCTAACTAGTGGCTTCTATAGGCATGTGTGTTATTTCAGCCATAGCCAAGACATGAGGACACAGCCTCAGCATCAAAAGTCCAACTGACTCACTTGTACTGGTCCCGTCTGTAGCTGGGCCTGATGCTACGAGCCCGGTCATTAGGGTAAGCCACTAGGGCTGTAGAGTCTGGGATGTGGCCAGCTGACTTGGTGGCATGGAGACCCTTGGTCTTAGGGGCTCCTATCATGGCTGCCCGGGGGTCGTAGGGCTTAGCTTCGTCCATGGTGACATCAATGAATTGACCAACCTCACCGACAACAAGGGCTGTGATGCCTGGCAAAGAGAAAGTAATACAAATGATATGATCAATCATGCAATTTGGGAAAGTGGGTCATGGAATGAAAGAAAGATAAGAGGTCCAAATGAGAATAAAGTCCCACGTTCCATATCACTGGCTGAAAAACTGATGATGCGCCTCTTTTGCATGAAACGGCAACTAATTTGTCCAAAGCAAAATGAACCATTTAAAATATTCTCTGTTGAAACCGTCACCCAAACTGCTGACACAAATTTCAACGATTTATTATCCAGCAACTGTAACAAACTGATGGTCATGGCTTATCACAGACTGAATGAAGCATCTTTCAGAATATGACGCAGATTTTCCTCTACCTTTGAGAAATGTCCTCTTAAGTTACCATCTAAACCTGATGAGAATCCAGTGAGTTATAGCAGAGTTTTGTTTGTGACTCACCTGGGTTGAATTTAGGCTCTCTCTTCTTGGACTCGGCATTGGAGACACCTTGAAGGAATATCTGCAGGCCATAAATGGCCTCTAAATGAGTGGCCAGTTGATTGGCCTCCTCTCCTTCATCGGCCACGGATCCTAGGACGTCCATCACCTGGGTCAGTTTGAAGGTTCCGTACTGATTGGGCTTGAAGGAGAAGATCAGATCCTGGGACTCGCCGGGTTTGAGCTTGCCAAAGTATGGGTAGACGCAGAACTGAGCCACTTGGCGACAGACAAAGGAGGCGGGGAGGTGGGCGGAGTCATTACGGAGGGTGCAGAGGGTGTCTACATGCTCACCAACGGGGCAATCACCAAAGTCAAAATGGTTGGTTGGGGAGAGACTGAGAAGTACTGGAAGAGCTGTGCCGGTGAGAGCCACCTCTACTTTGGTGCCTAGAGGAGCATTGAAAGGAAGTTGTAGTTACAAATTTAACGCAAACCTTAATAACACACGTCATGTTTGAATCCTGGCAAATCTTCAAGCAAACTGTTTTTAGGAGTCAGAAGCTGACATCTGTTTGACATATTATCTTGTGGTGGTGCTTGCTAGACAAGAGCAGTCAATGAGACAACACAGTTTGTAAGTTTTGTAAAGTGAATCTGGTAAAACAAGGCCACTGATGATGTAGAATGGCCGTTATAGCCAGGTGCCCGACTTCACACGTGCAGCACGTTTATATTCTCAAATAAAGATTTGTTTGCAAGTCAGTGTATTGCATGATCATTTCAGGCTAGACTGCATCTTACACCATCCCTTAAAACCTGACATGATAAAAGGTGGTGGATAATTAATTAACAGGCCATAACAAAGGAGGACAATACTGTAATGACAGACTCCCTACCTTCATTTCCGTTCTGTTTTCCAGCATCAGTGTCCGCCCCAAACCCTTTGCTGCTCCCAATCACCACAATTTGCATGAAGAGGGCAAAGTCCTGGCGGGGCGGTGGGGAGGCGGTGCTCTTCCAGCCCTGCCGGGCAGTACTGTAGCGAGGGCAGAAACGGAAAAAGACAGGAGCGCGCTGGTAAGGAGCCAGCTTGCCCTGGGAGGGGATGGCAGTGACTAGGGAGGTCAGCTCGTTGGTGCTGGAGCGGACTTTCTCCACATCCTTCGTGGCAAGCGTCGCAACTGTTGACTTTGTCAAATCCGTACCCTGAAACAAATTTTCAACAGTGACTGACTAGATAGAATTCAGTAATGAACATGACAAGATAGCTCAACCGAAATGAACAAAAATCTTTGCTACAAGATCTTGAGTTAGCCCCATAGAAGTATCTTTAAAACTGCTCTTTTCCTGTTCTTGGAAATGCTTTGTGAGAGAAACATATTGCAATTCTAAGTCACAACCAACTTCTTACTGTGGAACACAAGCAAAGACCTGTAGTCCATGCCACAATCATGACCACTGGCCTAGTTCATAGAGCTGACCAGACACAAAAATTCTGATATTAACGCAAAGATAACATTTGCTTCCCTAGAGTAGGAGACCAGCTAAAATCTCATGCACTGTATTTGTATCATTGCTGGTTTAAGGCTAATTGTTGCTTAACACAGACAGCGTCTTGAAATTACTCATGACTCTATGAAAATAAGCTGCAGGCACTGCCATAGACTCGTGTGTAATTTTGCAGTTAAGTGATTCAGGCTGCATCCGAATCTGTTGTCTAGAGCTAGGTCTAGGTCTTCCCTCCATTGGAAATGTGCAGAGATGCGTAGACAATAGACCTAGCCGTAGCTCTGGAAGCCCGTTTCAGACACGGCCTTAGACACAGCTACATAATTTGCTGAGCAAGAGCTTGTGTCCAGACTTCTTGGCTGCGGCTTGAAATTGCATACAATTCTATTGGAAGTGGCTGTAGCCATTACCATAGACTCATGCAGAATTTCTAGCTGCATCCATGGAATTCACACAAGGCCATTTTGTTTTTTCTTTAGCAGCTCCACGTTATTTGACCGACACGCTCATCAACTTACAGCTTCCATTCCCTCTGCTTTCTCTTCCAGGACTGTCACAAAGCTGATAGGGTCCGGCCCGTTATTATACAGCATGGCCATCTGGGTCTTGTCGGTACCGTAGTAGGTGTTGCCAAACTTGATGCAGTCTATCTGCTCATCTGAGTCCGGGGCGTACAGCTCCAGGCATCGCTCCACGACGTTGGCTTTGATGTGAAGGATAGCTGGCTGCTGGGCTTCCAATTGAACTCTGCCAAGAAAACATGCGACGTCAAATCAACGAAGAACAAAAATGTATCATCGGCTAGAACAGTTTCAGGCTAACTGTTCAAATCAATACAAACATAAACTGGAAGCTTCATGTTATCACAGATTCAGCTTGACCAGGATTACATCAAAACAACTTATTTACTTACACTTGACAAGCATTCCAGTAATTTGGGAAGGGTACAGATAATAAGCCAGCTCGGTTAGAATTCCAATTTTTGTTGATAATAGCAATTGTTGTTATACTTACGGCACTTCTTCATTCAAAACTCCAGCATTTTTGGTAACAAATTCCACCTAGTTCACACACAAAAACCAAGAGAGATATAACTTGGCAAGATAAACACACTAGATTAAAAAAAAAATCTTTATTGTTTTTGTGTTTTGGACTCTCGTCACCCAGTTTTGAGACTCAATTCTTTGAACCAGTCAATGAGCTTACCTTAATAACTTGCGCTGTCTTTGGCTGCAGGGTTCCCGTGGAAGGGAATATGGTAATTGGCTGCAAGCCCGTGTAGTTAATCTTGAAGTTTCCTGGCAAGGAGCCGTGATTGTACAGAGATACCTGCGTGGATAGCAGCTTACTGTTGCGTACTACAGTGCCAAAGTTGGCTGGCCCTTCCAAGTCCAAGAGAGGCTGGGGACTGTAACTGTAAGATTAAGAAAACAGAGGACAACAGTTTTGGTAGATACTGAACCAAAATAAATGCAATGTTGTGTGATGGTACCTAGGGATGTTTTACTTACACACAGAGAGGAATCTCCACGACATCTTCATCAACGAGAAGGATTAGACCATCTTGACAATCTTGAGGCTCTTCTGTGAAGAACTCAATAGTCGCGGTCACCTCCAGGCCAGGGGCAACTGGCTTGTCTGGATTCTTCACAATCAACTTGAATTTCTGCAAAATGAGAAAACCAGGATGGAAATTAGTTCTGTTGCAATATTTCTACTATGTTAGTATGCAGGCAAAGTTGGCGATGTGTTGGGGACTGCCTTTTACATTGGCCTTAGGTGAAGTGAGCAGGTGTGGTTCTAGAGCAAATTTTTTCTTGGGGGGAGGGAGCAAGACCCTGCGCATGTGACATCCCCTTTTAACTTTCACTACTGCTCTTTCATTTTGGGGGGAGGGGAGATTTGGGGGGGGGCTTAAAGTTAAAGCCCCCAGCTACCCTGTAGATCTGCGTTTGGAAGTGTGCCAAAAGGCACAAGCAAAAACTTAAGGGTAAATATGTACATTACATAAGCCTACACAGGAACTTAATAAGACAACTGAACAAGTTTCCACAAGAAAATAACCGCCTGCTATCTCAAGCAAATAACAATGTAATAATAAATAAAATTTAAAAACAACAATCTGGTTGCATTTAATGCATTCAGTTAAGTGACACTACCAAGAGTCTCTTAATGAGCCCTTTTCACGTTTCATGCGTGCATGCTCAGAAGATTTAGTCGAGGGGAACAAATTCATGACAAGAACATTGCGTAACGTTTGGCGAATGGATGCTCACAATTTTTATTGCTGTAGACAATTTGTTCCCCTCTAGCTTTGCTCACTTCCTTGCGCGGGGGCGCTATAATCAACACGGCAAGGGAACAGGAAATTAGCTTATTAACAGGTCTAGACCTGAGCATATGTCTTAGTAGTAGGCCTACTAGGCTAGGCCTATATTTGTAGTGCGCAAATCTACTCAACCGAGTCCTCCATGTGAACATGCATGACGTCAAAAGACTAGGCCTAGCCTAAAAGTAAAACAACTTAGGCTGAACTGAACTATTTTTTCATGTTTTCTGAATTTAAAGGGAGCAAAGTTTAGTTTTTATATAAAAGTGTGGATTTTAACCCATAAAGACAAAATTCTTACGTTTGTATTTGGTCCATGAAATTTAATCTGCTTGCTGCACTTGCTGATGTTTTGCACTGTGACACTTCGGACGTGCACTGCGTTGGCCTCTGCGTCCATAAATTCTATCACTGGTGGAATAATTCTGACCCCTGATATATCCCCTGCCATGCTGGCCATACTTTTCAAAAATGTTTACCTATAACTATTTTTTTTACCGAAGTTAGTTTCACATCTAAGTTACAACTTCGAAACTGGAAGCGGCCATGTTGTTTTAAAGTTGTTGCCAAGCAGGAACAGCGCCCGCTCGTGACAGATTCTGCTAATCAACCGCATAGCAACAATGTAAACAACTGTCCATGGGAAAAATTGAGCGCAGCTGGAGGAAATCTGTGTTAGAGCAATTATTTGCAAAAACGAAGTCGTTTGTACCGACTTTATCATCCAAAATGGGGCAGGATTACTATGGTATTCTGGGACTCACTAGATCAGTAATAGATGCGGATATTAAGAAAGCGTAAGTAGTAAAACTTGCCAGTTTTTCACGACAGTTCTTTGCTTTTCTTTTTTTCGCACTAGTTAGTAGTTGGAGCTGAGGGTTGTGTGTAACGTTACATGGTCATGTGCGCCTCAGTCAGTGACACTGTCACTACACTAGTCGTGCTGCGCATCGGGATGCAGTCTGGCTGGCAAGGTTGGGTTGACTAAGTTAAAACGTGGGGGGGTGGTAGCTGTTGAAGACGGTTTGGCCTAAATTCAAAATTGCTTTGGCCTGCAGATGGTGATGAGCATTGTAACTATACATTTCTCTGTCAATTTACACAAACTTCCAGTCTTCCACTGTCTTCCAAAATCTATTCTTGGACATGGGAACTTCATTGCACTTCGTTCACGCCTCACTCAGGCAGACATGACGTCATGCTGACTGCATAAAGAAATCATTCATGGATGATGGGTGGTATTCTAAATCTTTAGTTTGATCATTTTGGGTAAATATTCACCAGGCTCATTTTTTGAGAACATTAGGGGTATAAATTTGAATTATTGTTTTATTTTACAGCTACCGGAAGTTGTCCTTGAAGTATCATCCAGATAAGAACCAAGAAACAGGTGCTCCAGAGAAGTTCAAGCAGGTCTCCGAGGCCTACGATGTACTGTGCGATCGTAAGTTGTATCTAACAAACATTAATCATCTGCAAACGTATACAGCAAGCATGAGCTAAAACATTCAACATTGGCAAGTCTTACACTTTCAATATCACTTGGTCTGTAGCTCGCAAAAAGGCCGTCTATGACCAGTTTGGAGAGGAAGGGTTGAAGAATGGTGTACCTGAGGGAAAGATGGAGAGTGGAGCATGGACCCACGGCTATACCTTCCATGGTGATGCTCACAAAGTCTTCAGGGAGTTCTTTGGTGGAGATAACCCATTCAGTGGTAAGCCCAGGCAGACACAGTTATTCCCAACGTCCAAACCGATTCATTTCACTAAAAACAAAAAAAACTTGTCATGACATGAACTTCAGTAGCCAAGCAACGACTGAAATAACATAGACATACAACATACATGTATCAAAGTTTGGTTCAAATTTTAGAACCGTTGGAGGAAAATGAAGTAAATGAATCGAAAATATACCTTAAATTTAGGCTTGATTGTGGCATGCTGATGAATTAGGCCAGTATCAAAGATGTACTTTGCACAAACTATTGATTAGTCAGAAATAATAGCAGTAAACATTACTTCATATAAAGCAGGTTACTCTTAGCATAAATTACTCTGACTTGGCACCTGTGAGTAAAACGCGGGTACAATAACGTGCTCACAGTTCTTGCACTGTCTTTGTATGTACATGTACTAAACTGCAATCCTGTGGTCAATGACGTACAGAGTTCTTTGATGACATTGACGGTGATCTGAGCATGGGTTTTGGTGGTCTGCGAGGCAGAGGACGGAAGAAGCAGGACGCATCCATTGAAAGAGACCTGACGCTATCATTGGAGGAGATCTTCCACGGATGCACCAAGAAGATGAAGATTTCAAGAAGGGTGGGTCTTAGGATCGCATCCCAAGATGGATATAGGAAGAGTATTAACATGAAACTGAGCACAAGCAAATTCTAGTTTGTGTGATGAATGAACTTTTGTCATTTTCAGGTGATGAATGAAGATGGCCATACTTCCAGCATCCGAGACAAGATCCTGACCATCACAGTCAAGCGCGGCTGGCGAGAGGGCACTCGCATCACTTTCCCCAAGGAAGGCGATCAAGGACCCAATAACGTGCCGGCTGACATCGTTTTCATCGTCCGTGACAAGCCACACCCTCGGTTTAAGCGAGACAGTAATGATCTCATCTTTACAGCCAGAGTGCTGCTTGGTAAAGCCCTGACTGGATGCAGTGTGGAGGTGCCTACCTTGGACGGACGGCTCCTGAATGTTCCCATCAATGACATCATCAGGTTAGCTGGAATTCTGATTATATTCAGTATAAACTGAACAAGATTTCCTTGTGTGTTAGCTTTCAAAGCTTGTGCATCAACTGAGGATGTTTGCCACTAAACAAAGCGTTAAATACATTTTCCACATGAAGGAAAAAGCACATTTCACTCTGAAAGACATAAGCAACGTTGCATTAAACATCTAGTGTGCAAAGCAATTAGGGCAAAATTAAACAAATTCCTGCATTTCATACGACACTGGATTAAGTAAGCCTACAGAAAATCCCTTGATTTAAGTAAGTGGTAATATCAATTGTAGATTTGCCAAGAACCAGACCATGTTTACTTATGTCAACTTTGTTAATATTGAAACAGGCCAGGCTACGAAAAGGTCGTCCCCGGAGAAGGCATGCCACTATCAAGAGCCCCAGAGGAAAAAGGCAACCTGATCATCCGCTTTGACATTGAATTCCCTAAACAGCTGACATCGGAGAAGAAACGCCTTCTCAAGGAAGCTTTGCTTTAAACTGGAGTGGGCACTGGCTTGTCCATGCTGTTACTGCAAAAGAACTGTTCTTGAAATATTCAGCGAAGATGGTTGTAACCAATTGGTGACTCTCATGGGGTATCACGGTTACCAGGCAAGCCCCATACTTCATTACTGGTATGGACAGAGTACAAGCAGAAACATTGCTTCCCTGTCATAAATTAAAATCAAAGCAATATTGTCTTCACTATGCAAGTTTCAGATCCTTTTTTTCAAATGCTTCACAAAGGTAGGCATAAGACATACGTACTAAACTGACTGTTAGCATGTAAAGTACTGTGGTAGGTCCAGCCAAGACTCACAGGTTTGTATTCCAGGGTAAAGAGATTTAAGACAGCAAAAATGAGTCAAATTAATGGCCAGCTCTTGAATTCTGATGTTAAAACAGCTTCCTACCAGTGTTTCATTAAGCAAACCTTGCACTCAGTTCCTAAGAATACCACACTCTTCCAATAAATCTTGTCCCAAATGTACTCCTCACAATTTGCAAGGGTGTTAGATGCTAACTCACTGTACATGTACATAGGTATGTACATGTACATTCATGGGTATACATAAAACGTAATGAAAGATAATAGTTTGTTTTTCCTGAAAAAGAATTTCAGGAAATTTAAACTATTAACCAAACTGTACCGTAACCTTCAAGACAACAATCATCCGTCCTTTCTTAAAACAACTTGATTTTAATGTATATATTGTATGTAAAAAGATTTTTCTTTTGTTGGAATAAAGTCACTTCTAGACCTTACAAAATTTGGCACATGGAATTTTCTTTTTAGTCGTGTTATTACCAATTAAAAAGCTAAGAATTTCACTAAAGCATTTAAAATACACAAGCAAGCCTATATGAGCTTTAAGTAAATGCTGTTTTAATTCTCGTCAATGTCTTGTACTATTTTGGATAAAAATTACAAAAATATTTGATATAAATTTTCACAACTTTATATGATTTGTACTTAAAAATCCAAAAACAACTTTCCAGAAGATTTGACTCAAATCAACAGCTGTATAAATTTATGAATATATTCACTTTCTTGAGTATATGTACAATTCAATAAACGACATATTTCACTGATATCTACAAGCTTGAAACAACTTCCCTGAAGTAAAATCAGACGCTATAAAAGTGAAGTGAAATCAGGCGCTATAAAAGATCTGAAAATTGAAAATATCAGTTCAAAGTCCAACTTTCTTAGATGAGGATTTTATAGAGAGAGTATCCAAATACCTAAATGAAATAACTACAAATTCAAAAATTCTAGTTTCAACTAATAAGAATTTGAAACAAGGTTAATTCTATACCCATAAATTCTTAAACACAGATTTCCTTGGAACTTGCTGATTACAAACAACAGAGAGCAGCAACACTTGTGTATGCCAACTAATACCACTGGAGCACAGCAACAAGTCATTTCTAGAATACGTAATTAATTTCCATTTGATTTCTCTCTATTGCAAATTGCATTTTGCTTGTCCTTTTGGAACTGGCTAGAATACATGTAGCTGAAATCATCAGAATGAACATGAATGAGGTATTAAGTTGAAAATTTCAGCATTGGTTTGCTGAGGAAAAGCAGCCCTTGTCATGAGAGATATCTTCAGCAAGATACTCGATGCAAGATACTTGGAAATAATTAGTTTCACAAACTAAAATCTGGCAGTGTTTAACGATCACAGCAAGCAGAGCGAATGGACGAAGAGTTCTACTCCATTTCAAGCAAGGTTGTTGCACTTCACACCCACTCCAGCTGACGGACAGCAGAATAAATGGTCATCCCGAATAGACCCAGGATGGCTGGGTACCCAAATGCTCCCCTCATACGCTTCTTAGGATCTGGAGAGGCCAAAAAAGAGATAAAATTCTATCCATCTCGATCCTTGTTCCACTACTATATTTTCATGGCAACAAATTTTACATCAGATAACCCAGTTCCTGTCTACAGATTCATGCCACAAAGTACCAAAACGTCATTTGAATCCCAGTGTCTTCAAAAAAACAATCAACTTTAACACTGACCTTCCTGAAGAGGTTTTAAAGGGCGTTACACCCGTCAAAAGTTAACATACAATTTACATGCCATTTGATTACTGCACACTGAAGGATCTTTATGCTGAGAGGATCAAAAGAGTTTCTGCATTGCTGGCAGTTTGGTGGGGTTAAGGTATGGCTGAAAGATAGTACCTCCCGTGCTGTACCCACGTGCATAGCTTAGACGACTAATGATCCACACAGCCCCGCAAGCAGCTGATGCCCGCTGTAACAAGTGAAAAAAAAATCAAGTTTCTGGGACATCATGACTTCTTCATTTTGAAAGGAAGCCACCAACACAGATAAGTGCCGCAGTGTGCCTGGTGGCGCAGATGTGGAGCATCAGAAGGAAGATAACTTACTGGAAATTGGAGTCCAGACATGGCCAGGAAAAACAGGAATGGAGGATATGACTCCAGACTGCGGGTAAAGACCGAAAGAAAAAATACTGCTGATGTTGATGCTAGACACTAAGTATTCCCACACCTCAAATCTTCTTCAACCCCGACCCCTTGGGGTTATATTGAAATTTCAATCATACTGAAATTGGAGGATTGAGGACTGTTAGGGTTAAAAAAGAATTCAGCATTGAGGGCAGGAATTGTTCTGGATTGCTCAGGTTTACTCACGTGTTTTGATGAGACCTCTGAATACAGTTGAAGAGCTGGTGAGTATCACTGTACATTGCAGGGTACTGCTCAGAAGAGGATCATAGTATGTGATTAAATCTATGATTTTCATAACAACTTCAAGAATGCATTTGTTCCATCAGTGTCTACCAAGCTGTGAAAGACTAGCTCATTAAAATCACAAGGAACAGAAATCATAAAAAGAATTCCATGTCAGACTATCACATTTTTTGAGGGTCACAAACACTAAATGAACAAGTTTATTCTACCTTTAAAACCTATTTTCTCAAGGTACTGAACATTTTCCAAGTTAAAATGTCCCCCTCAATTTAAACTGGCATCCCTTTTAAACCTGAGGTTAACTTTAAGGCATTCAGAAATTGTTAGGGTCTGATAATATGGAATTGGGGAAGAAAGAAAAGAAAGTTTTATATTTCAATGGTTAGCTTACCTCCACACCATACTTTTTCCTTGCAAAACTAACTTTTGCAGCTAGGTAGTACACCATGACATAACTGGCAGAGCCAACCAGAATGACATACCCATAATCCTTGGGCAGAGTTGACAAGACACTAGACATGATCACCAATGATGGTCTCTTCACGACAAAGTTATCTCAACTTCAAGTCAAGTTTGGTCTGTACTGTAGAGCGAAGTGCAGTGGAAGTCAATAAAATAATAAATTAGGCAAAATGTTAGACTTTCATTTCACCACTTTTCACCTTTAATGAAAATACCACTCTTTAAACCCGACACAGCAATGCAAAATCATTTATTTTTTAAATAGGCCTAGCATGCCTTGGCCCTATTTCACTTCGTGCGCCGCTTTCCGCTTGTCTTTCCTAGTGTAGTGAGGACCTTCCCTTCATCATGTGCATCTGTACATTGTACATTGCTTAGAGTAGACAAGCTATGTTTGCAATTTTGGCCCCCCTCCAGCGCTCCTGGTCAGATCTTTTAAACTCCAAACGAAATGGAAATTCGTCTGAATCTATCATATTTGCGCATGAAGTTCGACAATGTGAAGATTTCTAGTACCAATTACAGTTGAGTCAAATCTTTTAAAGCCTACTTTCCAACTTTTTCACCTGTAATCGTCACTGGGCCCGGGATCCACCAGGTCCGACCGAGCCGCTCTAGTTCGCTAGTTGGCACGAAGTGCGGGAAACCAGATTACGCTGTCACGGTACGGGTACGTGCACTTTCAATTCCAAACAGGCTGGTTCCCAGACATATTTCTGGACTAGTTTAGTACAAAAATAGGGCCGCTGAAGAAACGAAGGAATTTTTATTCCGAGGATCAATATATTTTTACGTCAGATATTTCACATTTTATTACATAAATTCAAAATTAGATACACAATAATGTGTTATTAATCCAAAGGTCTTTATTTTTAATAAGTAGTAATATTTCAATGGATTACATCACTGAACATCCCTCTGTATATATTGGAACGGTCCAAATCGGGCCGGTAACCGTAAGCTAACCGGCGGGTTTGGGATTAAAAATGGCAGATCTACAAGAGGTTCTGCGAACTTTCGCACTAAAAAAAATGCAAGAACTGAAGCAAGAACGAGGGGATGAGTAAGTCACTATAACAGGATATTGTAATACATTCTAGTGAAACCATTGCACGCTTAAATCATAAACAGGTAGTGAGAAAAGAGAGATCGCTTGGGTGTTTGTGATGATCCTTTTTCGGAGTCGGATGATTGCCATCATGTCCACCCAGATATAGGCCTGTACACGATCAGACGTTACTTATGAAGCTCTTTTTTATCCTGGTTGATGAGCGTCATAGTTGATCCTTAGTTTATAGAGCTCTCTCGGTTAATGAGCATCATACATATGAAGCCTGTATATGGTTGATCCATAGATCCCTGGAGGATTTTTTTAAAGGGACATAAAGTCCGAGATCACTTCCAGACTGGTCTGGTTCCTGTTTCCAAAAAGCAACTTCCAATGAAACGTGCATGGTTGTATCGGAAAATTGAGCTTCATACGTCTGTTCGTATTAAATGCCTCCACATATGTAGTAAGGTTTCTTGGAGACAATCCTGATGCAGTCATGTAGCTTTTGATTTTGGGGGAAAATGCAAGAAGGTGTAAGCCTAGTAGTTTCAGATCTTGACCTGTGTTTCATAGCATACACAGGTACAGTACAGGTTGCTTAGTAACACTGGAATCAATATAATTGCCTCAATACTGTATGTCTTTAACAGGGAAGAAATGGAGACAGGACTTACCTTTGGTAATGAGAATGGAGACCAACAGTCGGATACAATAACTGGTAAATCAAAACTGAAGCAAAACAATTTGAGAGGTAAAGATGAAATAAAAACCGCATCTTCCAACAGGGAAGACGGAACTCTCAGTGATGTTGACAAGATATCAGAAACTCCACCAAAAGTTGACAACAATGAGATTGATGCAAATGCACAGATGGAATCAAAGTCAATAAAAACAGAACCTTCTGGCGGCAAAGATGGGAAGGATAAGAAGATAACCATCAAGCTTCTCACCACAAAAATTGACCCCGAGACAGTGATGCTGAAAGATGAAATGGCAGAGGTGGGGGAAGAGAAAGACGAGGATGAGGAAAGCATCTCAGACAGCAGCGATGATGCTAACGAGGGACAGGTGTCTGATGGAAAACCCTGGAGAAAGGTCTATGAAGAGGGTGAGCTGTCACCCTCAAGTGACAGTGGAGAGGAAGGGGAGGAGGAAACAAATGTTGCCAAGGAAGAGGAGGTGGTGAACTCGGAAACAAGTGGAGAAATCAAGGATGAGGATGCTAAGAAATCCAAGAAACATAAAAAACACAAACACAAGAAACACAAACACAGCAAGGATAAGACGAAAGAGGAGTCCACTAAGATTAAAGATAAACACAAAAGCAAGAAAGATAAGAAAAAAGACAAAGAGAGGAAGGAACACAAGAGTAAAGACAAGGAAAAGGATGGCAACAGAGAGAGAAGCAAGGATAAGAAAAAATCTAAAGATAAGAAGGCCAGTAAGGAAGATGTTAAACAAGATAAGCAAGAGGACAATGACTCAGAGATGATGAAGCACAAAGAGAAAAGTGAGAAGAAACATAAAAGCAAGCACAAAGACAAGGGGAGTGACTCTAAAGGGGAGAAGTCTTCAGGAGGTACCAAACGGAAGCACAGATCCGGCTCGAGGTCTCGGTCACGATCGCGGTCCAAATCCAAGTCCACATCTCATCACAAGAAACACAAGCGCTCCAAGTCTCGATCACGGTCACCAAAGAGTCACAAGCACAGTCATTCAACAAGGTCCAGGTCCAGAGACAGGCTCAACTACCACAGCACTTCCCCTGAACGGTATTACTCCAGACGGTACAACTCAGGCTTCAGATACAGGAACCGGTCACGTTCCCGCTCGAGATCACCACATTCGGACGAGTTCAAAATCGACAAGGCTAAGCTTCTTGAGATTGCCAAGGCTAATGCCTATGCCAAGATGCAGTCGGGAGAATTCCCACCATATATGAAGCTGACACCAAAGAGCGTTGTAACCAAAGTAGATCCCAAAGGTGAGATCTGATTCTCAGGATCTAATCTCCAGTCTCGGTTGATGCATTTTCACTACAGTAAACTCGGTTGTATTAAATATGCTCAATGATCCTTCCAAACCCTCAGAATGTTTTGGAAAAATTTTGCAGGTTCAAGGAAGAGGAGGCCCAGCTTTTATTACTGGGGGCTTGGTGTTCTTGAGAATTCGTATTTAGGAATTTGAGTTCTCTTTACAATGGAGGGTTAAGGAAGATTAAAAAACAACAGAAATTAGGATTAAATGATGGCAGTTATTGAGATCAGTTTCCTTTGTCATTGATTTGCATCTATTGGCCACTGATTAAGAAAGTGATAATTCTTTATTCCAGAGGGTAGGAGTGTGGAGGAGCTGACAGCCGTCTGCAAGGAGATTGCCAGCAAACAGCAGGACTCCTCAGATTCAGACGAGTCCCCCATCAATAAACCTGTTGGATCAGATGATGAAAGTGACGAACCGTTCATCAGGCACCCCTTCAAAGTCAGAGAGGCTCCACTAGGAAACGTGGGCATCGTAATGAACATCAAAGTAAGATATGAAGACATATTGCCTTCAAGCACTTCAGAATCTTTGGTTTTGAACGGATACCAAATTGTGCTCACTGTTGTAATGACGTTTATTTCTCTCTCTAGAATGCTATTCAGAAGCCAATTCAAGACAAGGAGATGCTCCGCATAACCTTCCCTGTCTCCAGCGGCTCCCAGCACCGCAAGAAGGAAGATGAGATGGGTTCTAAGCCCTACGGAGACTGGGTAGCTGTAGAGAAGAAACCCAAGATGATGGACCCAGTAGCTAAGCCGACCACCAAGATCATGCTGACCCAAGGCACATCAACACTAACACCAACAGCATCAACAGGTAACTAGGCCTAGCAACTGTTGTACACAAAGAACAGTTTGTTTACTTTTGTTCTCATCTGATTTGATCCCTGTGTTCTTTCCTAGGTACTCCTGTGGTACCTGGTGTTGGTGCTGCACCAAGTGATACAGTTGCTTCAGCAGCAATGCCTCCACCCCCAGTTCCACCCTTGCCCATCACTCCAAACCCGCCCCTGCTCGCTGCTGCCCAAGCACCAGTCGCCGCTGCTCCATCACCAGTCACCGCTGCTCCATCACCAGTTGCCGCTGCTCCATCACCAGTCGCTGCTGCTCCATCACGGGTTGCTGCTGCTCCAGCACAAGTCGCCGCTACCCCAGTGCCAGTTGCCGCTGTCCCACCACCAGCTCCACTCACCTTCGCCGGTATCATCTCCCCAGCGGGAGCTCTACCCACGTCTAGCGCCATCGCTGCAGCATCGGCTACCCCAGCAGGGGCCGCTGCGGCCGAGTTTGCAGCTGCAGCTGCAGTGGCTGTCTCCAAGGCAGCGGCTGCAGCAGCAGCACCCACCCCCATTGGAGTAGCAGCCACGCCCCCAGCAGGGCAGAAAGACGAGCCTAAAGACGACAGAGTGTTTGAGGAAATACCCAATCAAGTAAGGAGTCTACCCAGAGTTAGGTTGCAAACACTGACTGTTTTTGGTTTTGTTTTCTAATTGTCTGACTGCTTTGTCAACACTGAAATTCCTGCAACGAAAATTGCAGACTGATCCATGTGAGCTTGCATGGATGTGTATATTTACAATTTCCCAATGTATGAGATACATTTGTAAAAGCGAGGCATTCTTTTTAGTACTTAAATAATTATTATTAGTTTTGAGACTTGACAATTGGCACTCCATTTTGATATTCTGGTGTTGTATTTCAGAAGGTTGATATTGCAGCCATGGTGTCTGCGAGACTGAAGGCAACAAGACGTCTTGAGAGTAACCCCAATGACATAGAAGCATTGTCTCTCATGCACAAGGCACAGACACAAGTAAAAAAACATATCAACTCTTAAACTGCAATTTGAATACATGATGGATAGGAGGTCGATTAGATGAAGTAATTTCATTTGACAGACTACCATTTTGAAGAACTAAATGTTGGTTGTCACAGTTTCATCCTTGGAGGTGACACTTCATGAGGTTCATTTATAAATTCAGCTTTTGTTTTAGGTTATAGTAATGACAAAAACTCATGAGAAACAAATGACCATACAATTACATGCATATGCCTTCAGGCTTTATTTACATATGGTCTTCCAGGTGTTTGCATATTATGACCTCTAAAATGCAAATCAATTTGTCTGTTATACATGGAACTGATGCTTTGAAATTATGCTTAGGTGTAATTATGTTTAGTTGTCAGGTTAATTGTAAAGTGTACACTTTTACCAGATCCGCAACTGGACAGTGGGTAAGCAAAAGCCAGGCATGTTCACCGGTGACACGGGTATTAGGCCGCTACGGCCTGAGGAACTAGCCAACACAGACCCCAGGGCACAAGCCTGGGCAAAGAGGGTAAGATCTTAGCTTATGTTTTGTCCGTTGTCTAGTTTTCTTCCAATTATGAAACAGAAAAAAAAATCATATTTGTGAGGAAGATGCAGCTAGACAAATGAAATGTGCACTTTTTACTGCATGGAAGGGAAGGGAACTATATTAAAGGCAGAATTGTTTTGATTGATAATCAGGGCTTGAATTTAAAGATGACATATTTCCTGAATGAGAAATCTGTGCCATAGATACATTAGGCAATTTCTCAGCTAGCTTGGTGCACCAATCTCCCTATTTTATAATGTTTAAAGACTTCCAAGCACCAGTCGTACAGAGACATCATTGGTTTTGTATGGTTCCTGGAAGTATTTCTGTTGTTTTTAATAGGGCTGAAAGTTTAGATACCACACTAATAGCCCACATAAGCAACCAATTTTGGAGCTAGTGGTGTCGTAAAATTTCAAGTATTTGCCTGGTACCTTGGTCAAGGCTCCCATGTAGATACTGTCAATGCCAACACTGCCGAACATTAAAATATTTCAACGCAACGCCTCACCGCTCGGAGCTTCCCCCCAAAGCTCCAAGTCGTGAGTCCTTGCATTATAGATTCGACAGGTTTCCAGTTCAGTTTGAGCAAGGGATGAATCAGTCACGAGACAAGCTCAGAAATGTTTCCTGAGAACACAACTGGACATCTAAATTGGTAGGTTTGTGAATACACCACCAAGACAAAACAAGTTGAGAAGACAACATTTTGGGATTCAAAGAATGAAGCTTTCCTTGTCTCCTGACCGTTATCCATCCTTGCTCAAATGGTTAGACAACTTTCTTGTTGCAAGAGTGTTGCTGTTCAAAATTGTTCCCATCAAAGGTAATGTACCATTTGCTTCTTAAATTCTTTTAATTTCAAGAATTTTTCCCAGACCTTCTTGCACAAATTGTGGAAAACAAACAACGTTTCTGGGTAAAATGTGAAATATTGTGATAATGTGACAACTCACTCCACCCAGGGATTGAAAGCTGGGAGAAACAGGGTTAATACTAACATCTAGATATTTGGTTCAAATTGTAAAACTTTGTTGATGTTGTCAAGTGAGGGCCTTTGTCACCTTCCAAATGTTTTGATCATTTCATATTTTCCTGGCATACGTCATGGTGACTGAATTTAAAAACACACCACATGCTTCAGTTAGTACCTGAACAGATGGCAACATCAGCAAGATTGGTAAATTCGCTTACCGTCTTCCCAAGACACTTGGCCAAATCATCCCCGAACCCCTCAATGAACTCACCCGGTGTACACATGCACCCATGGCAGGAGTGGATTGTTCCACTCCTGCCATGGGTGCAGGGCAGCACTCTTGGAACAAGAAAACAACACAGAGAAACAATGGAAACTTGTTACAGGCAAAACATCACCCAGACCTTTGCAGCTCTCGCGGGAAGAGTGGTCGGTCTCCAAACGCCACAGCGATGAGGTTGGAATGATTTACTGTAGCCCACACAGTAAGGGTAGGTAAGAGGTACCTTTAAGCATACACTACTCAACAAGCTTCAAGATGGAGGCTGTAACTGCGATTCATGATGCTTTTTCTTCTCAAAGAATTGCATTTGGTTCTGTTCAGCCAGCTGTTAGTGTGTGCTTAAATGATCTCTTATAAACAGGTCTGGCTGTTAGAATTCCACAGCCACGTTCCGAGTCCTGTCTTAGTCTGGTACTCCAATTTTTTGGGTTTTTTTGTATTTTGAAGATATACTCTAGTGTAGGAATTATGGTACAAAGTTCTTAGATGTCTTGACATCAGACCCACAAGTGGAACTTAAAATGCACCCCAAAAAAATTACAATGCATTTTCAAAATATCTGAAGCACTAAAAACATTTGTGTTTGTGGAAGAACAGAGGTAATATACTCAGTGTGAAGATTTTCTAATTTTCAGGAAAGAAAAACATGTGAAACCTTGAATACACTTCTGTAGGAGGCTCATTAGGTTATTCAATTAATGTATAATTCAACAAATCGTTTTAATTTTGTTCAGGTGAACAAATCACAGAGATGTTAAGTTGTGCGCTTTTATCTAGGTTCCTAAAATACGAGTGACTGGTTATGGTTACCACTCATAAATATTGAGAAGTGACCTTTCACCAGTCACACAGCTTTTAAGACACTTTTCATCCCTTCTTCCTCTCCTTTCTTCTCCCACATCTCTGCAGGACATGTTCCACAACCAAGCACCAATCACCGGCGGTAACAAAGGGGCCATGCTGATGGCCAAGATGGGATGGCGTCAGGGGGAAGGCTTGGGCAAGAACAAGGAAGGGTCGTTGGAACCGCTGGCCTTGGATGTCAAAACTGACCGCAAAGGTACAACTGGCACAATTGCTCTGAAGTGATGCTTAGATGAAAATGATGGAAGCATATTGTACGTTGCCAAGAATCATAGTGCTGAAACATTCCTGAAGGTACAAGGTGCAATTCTTAAATCTCCATCCCAAGAAGAGTAGAAGAGTTTAACCATTTTTTGCTATCTAATCAAACTTTGACACCCTGATTAAGATTTTGAAAAGTCTGGGTAATTGGGTTATCAATGCTTGTAGTTAACTGTGATTTGTGATTTTTGAGTTGCTTAGAAACAAAATTAATTTAGAGGAACAAAAATGTTGACGATGTGATGTTTCTTGCTGGACAAGGCCTGGTAGCCGAAGATGAACAGAGACGCAAGAAGGCCCAGATGCCCAAGGCAATCTTCAAGGACCTGTCAGGCAAGCACCCCGTCTCGGCGCTGATGGAGATATGCAATAAGCGCAAATGGCCATCACCAGCATTTGATCTGGTACAGGACATGGGACCAGCTCATAAGAAGAGCTTCATCTTCAAGGTGGGTCACATGGTGGAAAGGGAGGGGCTAGAGATTAGGCTCAGGGGAAGGGAATCACCCAGCAGTTTCTATTGTAACCAGAAAAGAACACTTCCAGTGAAGTGTTACAAAACCATATGTAATTTGAAAAAAAAATCTTCATTGTTGAACCACAGACTGTGTAGTTGAATTGTTTACACTGGCTTTACATTTCATTCATTTCAACATGAATGTACATAAAACTTTGCGTTTAGAGTTTGCAGCCTGTCTCACTTACACCATAGTTGATGCAAACAACAAAACAATGGATCGACTGATAGCATCTTGAGATGACGTTGGCTCCTTTTTCCTAACAGGTTCGCATCAACAACGAAGAGTACCAGCCATCCATCTCTTGCCCCAACAAGAAGCAGGCTAAGGCACAGGCTGCTGCTGTCGCCCTGCAGAAGATGGGTCTCATCCCACCTGATAACCCCACATGATGAGCCTTGCAGCATGTGAACAACTCTCTACATCACATGACCACTCCATGTGATCAAAACTTGCAGTCACCTGATTGCCTCATGTGATCAGCGACTTGATCACTGCCTTTCGACTGATCAGTCCTCTGGACCAAAAAGCCCCATCTTTGACTGATCTACATGTATACGTTAGACACATGGTAACTGCATGTGATAAATGTCTACGCCACTGTCATATGATAACTGCCAAGTCCATTTTTTACATGAGAGCTTGAATTACCCAATCAAGCCATGTGATAAATGCCATTAGCACATAATCCATGTGAAACTCTAGTCATGTGATATGTCACATGATTACCACCATGCATGCACAGTAGACGTTCAACTCTGGCGTGGCCATAATAGCTTTGTGCTGAATGTACCACTTCATTCATCCATGTTCCATGTCTAAACCTTTAGATCAGTTCAGATCATGAGATTTATCTTAACTGTCCATAGTACTCCATATACTTCAGCCCATTAACCCTAACACTCCTCAGTCCTCCAACAGGTGAAGGATTGAGGAGTGTTAGGGTTAATGATGGTTCTGACCCTGTGCTATGAGGGTACAGCACCCAGACGCCTTCTAAGTTAATGTTGAAACACATCCATCAGTAGTCCATGTAAATTTTATGTTTTAAGGTGTACGTTTTAAACGACATTGAGAAAAATAAAAGTTCAAAACTTAAAGACATTGTGATGGTGTGATTTATTTCTGAAAACTGCATTTACATTTTGCCCTCAAATTCAGATAAATTAAAGCAGTTTCGAACTTATCTTTGAAAAGAAATATTCCCATAAAAATGTGTCGCATCTGCTTAATTTTTGTTTCTATAAATAGAATTCAGTATTTACAAATTTTAGAGTGATCACAGCGTTTTACGGGAAATACTTAGAGGCATTTTGATTGCCACGGGACCTTCCTTATCAAGGGAATTGTATACATTGTGTTTCCATTCATGAAACGTAACTTGTGGCGTTATGTGGAGTGTGACAGCATTTTTCTGCTGCACACGATCAGTGAAATGCAAAAGCTTTGCGGCTGGTTCAACCCTGGCAAAGTACTCACAAACCTGCACGAAAGTTTTCTTTTTATGAGTTTAAAACCAAAGAAACTAAGCCTGTAGTCAGTGCTCCATCCAGATGGTATTTGAGACAATGCCTCATCTTACCTTCAGCCATGAGTTCAGATTCTAGCTTCTTGTTCTGTTGGAAACCAGGAAGAGAGGGTCCGCCTTTATGTCACTGTTTCCACCACTGGTACAATCCATTAAAGGTGAACTCCTTCAAGATACCAGTCTGTCCGTGCTCTACCTGCATCCTCAAGTGGTTGGACAGACTCTCCCATGCTCGACTGTTTCCCTGTAAATGCTCCTGTCTTTCGGTCTTTGCATCTCGGGCATTGTTCTGCGCATCAACCAGAGTGAATGGCACGGTCGGCTCGTGGCTGTTGAAAGTGCCACCAAAGTCAGCTCCTTGGGACTCCTCAAGGAGCTGACAGATGCTGAAGACGTTGTGAGGCAGCAGGGGACCGGTGATCTCTAAGCTGTAGGATTCCTGGAGCTTGTTACCAACCGCTTGCTTCACCACGCCTGGTCTCCACTGAAGTAGATGAAAATTAATCATTTTTAAGTTCAAATGGCAAAAACATTGAAAAGATGATGTTTCAGTCCAAAGATTATTCTGAAGTTTGTGGCACAATTGAACAGCTGCATGGGTGCAGCATTCTTTGTAGAAAGCTTCAGCATTAATATGATGTCACGTTTCACAAGATGAAAACGGTATCTTCTTGTACATTTGGCTGACATTCTCTTGCACGACAAAAGTTTGAAAGAGCCACTCATTCACCTTACTGTATCTTTCTGATAATTTCTTAGCCTTTCAAAAGACACGATCACTGCTTAAATGTCATCTAAGGAGCTCAGGAAAAGATGATAAATATTCCACAAGGTCAGTGATCAAGAGTCAATCAGACACAATGGCAATGTATCAAGACATCCCATAAACCACAAAGCAAGAGAAAATGATTAAATGTCTCCTTTGTAATGTTACATTTGTATGGTCACCTTGAAGCTACTCAGACTGGCTCCCAGGAATGCCACAGGAGCCATCAAGGTGGGTGGTATCCCTGCTGTGCTACCAGTGGCTGCCACCGTCGTCCGCGTGTTGAGAAGGAAATTGTACAGCGCCTGGATGTCGGATCCTTGGACCAGAACCAGTGACTCAGGTCGGTTGTCAATTCTCATCAAGTGATCCCGTTGGCTGAGTCCAATTAAGTTAAAAGATCAAAACATGATGCCTTGAAAATTGGGATTTCCTTACTAACTCTTCATCACCCTAAAGTTCTTCCCCTAAGGACTTACACCGAACAAGGCAGAGAGCAAGGACTGTAATGGGAACAAGAACGATTCAAGGGGTTTCTTTTTTGGGGGAATACACCTGACCCTTTCTGATCACACGCCCAGGACATCCAGTGGTAAGCAGTGTCTTCAAAGCTATCTGGAAAGCTACTGTGCCAAAATGGTTTCACCAGTTAAGGGCTCCCATCTAAAGGATACAAGTTGACCTTGCTAGGTTCCAGAGTGGGGAAGTGCTGCCTGTCTAGACCCATGCTCTGTAACCATGACGACGCAGCATCGTCATTTGGACTTAAGCCTAGCTCCTCCTCCTCGAGGTCTCTATCCTCATCATCTGCAAGGACCTGGTCAACCTCCGTCTCACTATACAAGGAAAAGAGACCAGTGTCATCGAAACCCAAGGAGTGTTTGTTCAATCTAAAGAAAAGGTTTTTATTCGCATTCAGTCAAGCTTATATGTAGTTTTACTATGTGATTAAAAAACCTTTAAAACATACATTTACATTGCAAAAGACAGAGTATCCAGATGTGAAATTTGAAATACAAAAAGGCAACTTCAGACTGGTACCTAGCAGCATATTCAGTGTGGTATAAATCCTGTCAACATTCTTTAGCAGAAACTGAACAAGTTAGTTTTCGAACGACGTAAGTTGTAGTTTGAGTGCTTTTGTAGGGTCCAATCAGTAATCAAGTAATCAACAAGAGACAAACTGCGATTACATCGGGTTAAGATTTCCACTCTCTGTTTCTGAAGGTTCCTTGTACTGCTCTCTGAATGCGTCTTCCAAGTCAGATCTTGATTTGCTTTGTGGATCCTCGATCTTGGCTAGAGGCATGCTGAATTCAATACCTGCAATCAACATTGGAAATCATGCAAGTCAGGCTCGTAAAAATCTCCACTAGAACAATAGGCTCACACAACAAACTTTCAACTTCACAGCAAAACTGACACTGTCTATATTTATTTCCTACCTTCTTCTTTGAATGCTTCTCTGAGACCTTTTGTGGTGGGGTTAAATAGGGCGTGGATATGACTGACTCCTCCCACCCCAGCTGCTCTAAAGAGTACGGTATACTGATGAGCTAGCAGGTAGAAGTAGGGACAGTGGCCAGACCGCAGGAGATAGAACACTGAGCGAAAGCTTTCAGACCTGAAACGATCCAGGAAGAGTTGACTTCATAGTGGAAAAGTCCAGTCTGTAGACGAAAATCATTTCAGCAAAACCTTCTCTTGCCCCCAAAACTTGTGAGGCTGTGTTTTGTTGGAATGGTTTCAATGGACAATGTAGATGGTCAGCAATAGAAACGGCATCATATCAGTGTTACAATAAAAATCAAGGTCTTTAGTGAACTCAAGTTTGGAAATGTCCATTCAACAAAAATGGAAGCAAACCTCAACCAAACTGAGAAATTCGAAGTTGACCGACTTACCAACTGGCTATCAGTTCTTTTTGAATGGCTTCATCAAATGCAGCAAAAGACGTGCTGTGAAATTCCAAATAAAATCAGATATTTAATATGGGAATCCACAACATTGCCAATCATTAATCCTAACACTCCTCAATCCTTCACCTGTTGGAGGACTGAGGAGTGTTAGGGTTAATGGGTTAATCAGCAGAGAACATCTGACAACTTTCCACGAGCATTTTGTACGTTACTTTTGGGACTAACTTTTGTGTAAAAACATTGTGCAAGTAAAGTACTCATCACATTGAGTTGCAAGCATTAACAATTCTAAAGATGATTTGGAAACAACAAATAAAGAACTTCAAAATAATACTTGGGAGCAGGAAATAAGGAACTGTTAAGAAACAGGATTTTAAATGGTAAATAAATACGTCCAAGTTTGGTTTGTTAACTGCCTTTCCCACAGACCTGGTGGACTGTGATCGGAGCATGATTCTTGGAAACAGCTTCACCCATGGAAGTTGAGGATGACTCCACATCATGAGAGACTGCTGGAGTCTCGCCTTCCAATGGCTGTGCCTGGCAGAGTCACTCTGCATGAACAAAACCAAGAGAAGTTGATCAATGAATACCCCTATATCTTTCTTAAAGTGAGCTTTCTTCAATCTCAAACACGCAAATACATGTAGACACCATATTTTTTTGAAAGTGATCTGGAGTTTGATACTGTTTTTCCAGGAGTGCTGAATGTGTTCAATCTTTGAAGAAAAAAAAGAGCCCTGCGGTTGATCATTTTGAAATCCTCCAGGAGATTTTGAAGGCTTTTGTGGAATGGAGGAAGGTAGAGTCAACAGCTGATACATTACACAGGGCTTAATGCCCTTGGAAGTCCAAGAACAAAGAATGTGCCTCTGGTTTCCTCCACAGTGGAGGATTTGGACGACCAGGAGAGCTCGTAGCAAGAATGTGTGGAAGGGAACAGCTGTCAAAAAATGGGATCGTGAAAATTATTAAATATGAATTTGAATCCTAAATACCTCAGATGATTTGCGCTGTTCGCCGGTTAGGTTATCACACCTAACAAAGGAGCTAATGCCATTAGCCTCCTCTGTAGTCTTGAGAGGGGTACTCCAGCTGAATGGATGCGAGGAGGTGAACCTGACCCTGGACTTGATGCTCCAATCAAGAGGCAGGCATTCGCAGCTCTGCAAGGGTGGAAAGTTTCATTCTAAAATAAGCCTTGAAATAAACAAATTCAAATTTTCAAAAAAATTGCATTAAAATTGATAAAATTCCACTAGCCTTCCACGACTACATTTCAGCTTTGTAAGGGCAAGATTCATTTCAAATCTCAGCACAGGAAATACTACCTAAAAACCTTCATACAGAAATCAAAGCATAGATGGTGAAAGCTCACCAATGTCTCAGTATTTGGGTCTTCTCCTGTTTCAGTCTGGTCCTTTTGTTTTTCTCTCTTCCCGGAGATGTTAACACTCAACGCTTGCTGGTACTCTGTCACTGGTGCCTTTCCACCCTCAGAGCCCTCTAAGAACACTGCCTGGAGGAAGACATTTTTCACTTTAAATAAAATTATGTCCATTTACAAAGCTGACTGCAAATTCATACATACTCAACTGGTGAACATGTGGTTCTTTTTCCACCATGCAAAGCAATTTGATTCAACAATCAGCCAGTCAACTGACTCCCAGTTAGTCAAGACATTGAATCAAATAGGCAGAAGGTCTTGGGTTCAAATCTCACTTGAGCAAGTATGCAGAGATTTTTTTTACTCACAGAAACAAGAAACCTCTAATAGGTGAGAAATGTTGCTGTCAATCTTGAAAACATTCCATGTGCACACTGAGACTTATCATGTGACAACAATGAACATGAGGTAACTATGGCAACTTGTACAGTTTGCAATTCAAGATACGAGTAATCAAGGAATGACTCTGCATTGATAAAATCATTACACAAACTAAGCCCTTCCTTGTATCCATTCATAAAAACTGTATTGACCTTGGTATGCATACCTCGTCTCCTGAGTCCAAAGCCTCCAAAAGGCTAATGCTTCTCCCCCCTCCACTTTCTGCTCTAGCTGCACCCACTGCATCTTCCTCTTGCCCAGCGATGGGACATTCTTCTCCACCTGATCTTCTGTCTTCCTTCTCCTCTTCAGCATCGTTTTGCGAGCCTCTCCATCGCACAGGGGGTGTACCATCTTGGCCAAAGGGGTTCCGCCTCTTGCCAGGGCGGTGGTTGGTGTCCTCTTCACTGCTGGATACTCGCTCGCATGTCCCAATTTTGGCGGCCACTAACTGAGGGTTCCCTAGGCTGCTAGACCGTCTTTTCTTCAGACGGACTCTCATTACATCCGAGGGCTTCTTCCAGGCTGGCGACTGGGTGAGATTGTCTTGGTCTGTCATGATGCCTGCTACCTTGACAGTGCACAAAACATGCAAAAGGAGAAAGTAGATTAAACTTGCTCTACTGATGAAGATTATCTTTAAAGTGGAAGTGACAGCAATGATGTCTTTTGCATAGAATTACCTTTAGTCCAAACTGCAAGCTGTGTATATGTAACTTGGGCTTGGCAACTTCCACCAGGTAAAGAGTTCCATGTACGGACAACACAAACTTGCCCTTAAATTGTTTCAACAGCCATTAGAGAGGGATAACATGTCCTAAAAAAGAAAACGTTTTGCATAGAAAATTCCAAAGCCTTTACTTAGAAAACAACTTTTTTCAGACAAGTCTCACAACAGGGCACAGGCACAGGGCAGGGGCATGGCATCAACATCAAATTGATCAAGATTTGTTCGTCAATGGAACTCCTTCCTAAGCGAGTTTAAGTACGCTGGGCCCAAGGCCCACCTGTCCCTGGCCCATTTTCGTGACTGTGCAGTCACTAATTATAGTATACGCAGTTCTATTTCTACGCTCTAGCACTTTGCAGAAAACCTTACAAGGCCCACGTCCGGAAATTGGGCAAGAGACTGCATGATCTTATCCATAAAAAGCGACAGAAAAGGCTCGGTGTAGCCATGGTCAGCGGAAGTCTACGCATATTGTCCTTACTTCTGATTACATGCTTCACTGTGTTGGTGCCTTATGCTGACTTTTACCGTAAAAGTCAAGTCAAATCTTTTAACAAGCAGTTATAAAACTTGCAAAAACGTCGCTCAGCTGGTCCAGTCAAATTTTCCCGGTCAAAAATTGCCTAAATGACATGAAAGAGGGCGCTATAACAGACCAACACATTACAGTTCAGGTGCAGCCTGCGCACATGCAGGTTGCTTTGAACTAATTCAAGCTCCATTGAAGAGTGTGTAAAATCAACAAACTTTGGAGCCCCGTTGCGGGCAACCGAAGTCCCTGAGGTCTTTTAAACTAAAAAAAAAAATGTATGGTCCTTTGGCGCGGGTTTCATATGTTTTTCAAATTGTAGTAGGTTAACCAATTCAATTTGTAATTATCCGCCAAAAACAAACTCCATACAAGATGTATTTTTTGCGTTGAGGGGATTTATATAACGGGTTTTGCCCCAACCGACCCCGGTAGGCTCGGTGGTCAAGTGGTTAAGACATCTGCACTAATAAGCAAGAGGTCGTGGGTTCGAGTACCAACCGAGTAAGCTAAAGTTGAAGTTAAGGTAAAGTAATTAACCTGTCATGCATTGTTTACATAATGTCGGCCTACTGGGCTGACCTTCAAAGCCCGAGTATTTCAGAGTTAATGCTGAGGATTACATAACCTTCTGTAGCTGTGTGGCTCAACGCATACATTGTACATGCACAAAGAGAATTTAAATGTTATAATGGTTCACCGCTGTGACGGCCACTTCACTTAAACCAGGTGACCACGTATTAATGACATACGTACTGAACGATACGTCATAATTATATTCTCCGAAGCAAATGTAAAATGTTCAAACAGTAACCAAGATTGAAGTTGTTTTCGGTAAGACATGGTCCCACAGAGCTGTTGGAAAATAGTGTCGTCAGTGTGAAAACTTTGGTGGGCATGGCCGCTGTCAACTACAACGCTCCCTGTCCCACGAGGACAGCTGAACCACCAGAGCCCCAGGACGGCGGCAGGGCCTGGCTAGTACTTGCAGGTACATTCTTCTCACAAGCTCTGGTATATGGATACTATGGATCTGTGGCCGTCTACGTTACCGTGTGGATGGATTTCTTCGACAGTTCAGCGACAGAATCGAGTTTGATTGTTTCCCTGTCGTCATTCTTCGTGGGATTTTTAAGTAGGTATACACTCTGTAAATTTTTTTCTAACCAGCAACGGCAGTCCACCATGCGGGTACTACACGGAGCTAATAAAAGAAACGGTTACGTAACCATTATATCTAAATCTATTGTAAAGCACACAACAGCTCCTAAACTAACTTAACTCATGTAAGAAAAGATAACCTCGCCAAAAGGCCGAGTCCGCCTAGCCGTCACGCTAGACTGGGCACGAGCGTGGGTGGTATCATACTGCGCAGCACACTTGATTGATATAGACAATTCCAGTGACCATGATAACGCCATCACTGAAGTTGAGAGTGCTCATGCACTTGTATTTTTTTTTCATGTTATCTTCTTGCAAAATGCGGAACGTTCAAAACCACTTTTTTTCAACTCTTCCATGCCAGGTGTGATTGCTGGTGTCTTGATAACCCGATTTAGCGTCAGATCTGTCTGGATGATTGGGGGCGTGCTGGCCTCACTGGGACTTCTGATATCAGCTCTGGCCACCAGCACAGTCTACCTGACGTTGAGCATGAGTTTGGTCACAGGTATCAAATGTGTCATCTTGGAGATTATGCTCAATTGCATGTGTCTAGGCAGTAGTCATGTACTCTCATCCATTAGTAAGGACGGGTTACATTACACATAGATCGCTCGAGGAATTTTAGGCAAAACTTTCGGAAAGTTTTTGTGTAAACGTGGTATGGGAACTGCCAGAAATAATACTTACTGATCTGATTTGTCGCTAGGCAAATAATCTGAGGCCAAATAAGTAAGCAAAGAGACTGAAACTCGAGCCTGCTTAAACCATTTATTATTCATTTATTCATTTCAAATTTCAATATATTTATGTGAGTTTATTTCCTTCTCGAAACAGCTCTAGGTTTCAGTATGTGCGCAAACTGCAGTTTTGTGGCTCTGAGCATGTACTTCAAGAAGCGTCTCACTCTAGCTATTGGTATCGTCTCGTCTGGCTTTGCTGTAGGTCAAATAGCCCTTACTCCAATGCTAGACTACCTAATAGACCAATATGGATGGAGAGGGTCCATGGTCATCACAGCAGGCATTCTGTTGCATGCTACTGCTTGTGGGGCCCTCGTACGTCCAGTGACATCCAAGGCAGGCAAACGGACATTGAAGCGGCAGCTGAATTCTAGAACAAAATCGGCAGACGAAGACGTTACGAATTTCGGCAGTACTTCTCCAAAAGTAAACGAGGAGGGAGACAGTTTCACTGACCCACAGTTAAGAACTACTGGTGATGTGGCAGAAACTGCCAGCAGGGAATTGTCATTTGACGATGTAGGCAGAGTGTGCTTTGACGACCAGGAGATCTTGTGGCAGAAAAATGACGATGACGACAAAAAGATCACACCGAAACCCAAATCGTCGGTTGGTGTCGCAGAATTTACTGCTAAGGCGAACGACGCAACTCATGGTCCCTGTTTCCTTGAAGACTCTAGCGCAACTGTCTCTCCAAAGACCAACGGTGAGATATCAACCACATCACAGACTGACTCAAGCCTGCCTCCTGTTGGGCGTTGGAGAGTGTACTTGTCCCGATTCCGGACGTTTATGATGGAGAGCTACGGTCTCTCACGCTTGTTCCGAAACCCCAGCTTTGTCTTGACCATACCCATCGGCATAGCGCACGGCTGCGGTTGGGCCTCCGTCGTCTTTCACCTCGACGTTCGAGCCGAGTCAGTCGGCTTAAAGCCAACCGACGGAGCTACGCTTCTAACTCTCATGGGCGTAGGAAGTTTTGTTGGTTCAGTAAGTCACGGATGGTTCGTCGACAAAGGTTACATCTCCCCGATATCTGCCTATATTTTTGCCATCCTTGGTAACGCGATGACCTCCTTTATCCTGCCTCCTCTCGTCACTTTTGGCCCCATGGCCGCAATCTCTGTGCTTTTCGGAGTAGCTCTAGGTGTATCAGAGCCATTGATTTACGTAATTCTTCAGATTCTTGTGCAACCGTCGGAGGTGGCTGGAGCCACTAGTCTGTTTCTCGTGTGCTGGGGTACTGGAGAAATACTGGGAGCTACTGTAGCAGGTATGGTTACCTGTCTGTCACTCAACAGCAATATAACTGATAAAAAAATCACCCCTTTCGACCCCAAGCGTTCAAAATTTGCCACAATTCAACCTCTAAGGTGCGTTCTGATAACGCTTTTCGTTTGGATATACGCAAAAGTGAAGGTTGATAGTGTTAGCGTTAAGCCAAATCATTATTGACTGGACATAAAGGTGTTTCAGGGTGTTTCACTTTGTTCACGTGTCTAGCTGGGACTCTGCGATTGTTACCCGTCGACGGTCGGGGCGAGGAGCTGGTTTATAAGCAAAAATGACTCCAAGTTTTCACATGGACATATAGCCGACACTGGCGATTAAACTTTCTTTCTGCATGTTTTCTTCTGGTTTAAAACAGGTTGGATTTACGACACCTTAGAAAGCTACAACGTCTCATACTTCATATCGGGATCAGCCTTTACCTTCGCGGCCGCCCTAGCTACCGTGATCTATTTCTTAGAAAAACGAAAGACGAAAGGACAGAAGGGGAAAGCGGACGATGTACATATTGAGGCAAGGTGCACTTCTCCAACTACCGTCGACAAATCCGCAGATCCCCGTGACTGGAACGCTGACAATGGCATAGTAAACTCAGTGTACAACGGTCCAAATAACATTGATGCTATACAGCAAGATCAGAGTTTGAACTAGAAAGAACAGAATGAACAGTCTTTCTGTTAATCTGAAGAGTTGTAAAGTTTAAGGCTGTATTAAGTTCAGATTTTAGATGTGGATCACTGGATGGGTTGGGGCAGGTTGTGTGGTAAACGACTTTAAGTTGGTGAGAACATAATTATGGGCTCTTAAGTTATCTCTTGTAGACTTAAGAATTGTACGAAATGTGAGGAAAAGACGAAAAATGAAACCATATGACGCTCTGTTTGCCTTTCGAGATGCTTCGTACAGGTGGGTATGTACAGATCGTGTTTTTTATGTGTATAAACGTAGACTTTTTGAAAAAATAATAATTCTTAAGCTTTACCGTTTAACGGTAAACTATCACAAACTTTACGGGATGTTCAGTACATTATTAATCAAGGTTACTATAAGAACACTAAACGCATTCCGATGACTAATTTTTCAGGCAAATTGTAGGAAACCTGTCAGAATTGGTGCTGGTTAAAGTGACTTAAAACAAAAGCAACATTGCAAGTGTGTCTGTAACATGAATCTTTTTCTTACTACAATATTATTCATCCCCCCTGTATCCCCACATAGCAATATAATAATTTCTGCCAGACGGACTCATCTACATGTACAATGTACTTACAACCCACACTACATTGATTACGATTTTAAGCTATGAAAGTCACACTGAATGGAATCGTCAATGAAGGATCCATGTAATGATTTTTTGCTATACTAGCTTTTTGTGCATCTTTGTACTCGTCGTCAAAGTACGAAAACTGTTTGAAAGCCCTGCAATGGTGATATCACAGTCTTTCACGCGACTTTGCATCAGCACAGAACCAGGACAGCTCTGAAATACAGAATAGAATATCAAAGAATAATTGAAAATAAGTTAAAAACGGGCGTTTCACAATAGTGTGCCTCCAAGAGTTGGCAACGCACTGGCCAATCACAATGCTCGAAATCTGTCGACCCAATGCCTGTTTGGAAAGGGAAGACCGATTTCGTGCGTTGTGATTGGCCAATGCGTTACAAACTCTTGGAGGTGCACTATTGTGAATCGTCCGTATTGAAACACAAACGAACACTAGCTTGAAGTTGAAAAAAATGTATTTGACAGCCCCTTTAAATTGCATGGCACGGTCACTTCTAAAACACCCATACTTAACAAAACACTCCCTTTGTATATTGGTCCTCAAATCGACACCACGCAACATTCAGAGATTCGAACTAGATGAACTATGAAAAATCATGTGACTGAGCGCAATACAAAGGTCTAACGAGTTAATAATGTCTCTAAATTCTTACATGGCGCAGCGTATTTACCTATAGTAAATGCTGAAGTCCAGTAACGAATGTAAAGGGCAGCTATTCACGAAGTTGCACTTAGGGTAAATCAACTTCAGCGTAAATTATGTGGTAAAATGGCTGAACCTCTCTACAACGACGCTCCCTTGCAGACAAAGACTCTTAAGCGAGCCGAGCCACCAGTGGCCCAGGACGGTGGCTGGGCCTGGCTGGTACTGGCCGGTACATTCTTGTCACAAGCTCTAATGTTTGGCTACTACGGATCTGTGGCCGTCTACGTCCCTGTGTGGATAGATTTCTTCGACAGTTCAGCGACAGAATCGAGTTTAATTGTTTCTCTGTCGTCATTCTTCATGGGTCTTTTAAGTAAGTACCTGACGCTGACTGGGTTTAATTATATACAAGGTTCTTTTTTGACTTCTGAACACAAGAAACATTGCTTCTTTATCTTTCTATTTTCGTAAAGACATTTGTAACGCATTAAGGAACTTTAAAACCTCAAATTTCTTATTTTTTTCGATGAATGCTAGGTGTGGTTGCTGGTATCTTGATAACTCGATTTAGTGTTAGGACTGTCTGGATGATTGGGGGTGTGTTGGCTTCACTGGGGCTTCTGATATCAGCTCTGGCTACCAGTACACTCTTCCTGACCCTAAGCATGAGCTTGATAACAGGTAAGAACCACTATCTCTGTCATCTAGAAGCCTCGATGTAACTCAAGGGTTGTAAAAGATTACATAAAAAAGGCAATCGTGCAACATGCCGCAGCCGAGTCCTTGAAAGGTTTCTGACTACCAGAAACCTTATAGGATATACCAAGAAAAGTCAAAATAGAATAAAAGAAGAGCACAGATGCGTAGTCGATGGAGTACGGAAGTAACACTCAGTAAAACCTTTGCCACAAAATTCATGTCTTTTCGATGGACAGCACCCTTTGACACACCCTTCGGTAGGTTGACAACGAAGCCTAGAATCCTTTAATGTTTTGAACACAATCTGCTAAAGGAAACAAGATCTAGATTTTCGCCACACAGTTGAAGATATCTGAGGCCAAATGGCTCGCACCAAATCATGAGGCATGTCTTAAATACCATCTTTTTGTTCTCTGTCAACAGCTCTCGGTTTCAGCATTTGCATGAACTGCGGTTTTGTTGCCCTAAGCATGTATTTCAAAAAGCGTCTCACTGTCGCGGTTGGCTTAGCTTCATCTGGCTTTGCAGCAGGTCAGGTAGCCCTGACTCCTCTGCTAGACTACCTGATAGACCAATATGGATGGAGAGGGTCCATGGTCATCACAGCGGGCATTTTGTTGCATGCTACTGCCTGTGGAGCCCTCGTACGTCCACTATCGTCCAAGGCAGGCAAACAGGCATCGAAGGTGCGACTGAATTCTAAAACGAAATCAGCAGACAATGGTGTCGAGGCCCAGTCAAAAGCTACCGGTGATTATGCAGAAACAACCACCTTCGAAGATTCAGTCAGAGTGTGTTTCGATGACAAGGGAATCTTGTGGCAGAAAAATGATGATACCAACCTAAAAATCACATCTGAACCAAAGACATCAGTTAGTGTTTCAGACGATTCCTCTGTGCCGGGAAAAATACCGCGTGATCCCTACTCAATTGAGAGTTCAGGATCAACTATCTCTCTTGAGACAAAAAAACAGATAGCAACCCCATCAAGGTCCGTCTCAAACCCACGTTCTGTTAGCACTTTGAGACTGTACCTTTCCCGATTCTGGACCTTTATGATGGAGAGATACGGTCTCTCACGCTTGTTTCGAAACCCAAGCTTCGTCTTGACCATTCCCGTCGGCATAGCGCACGGCTTCGGTTGGGCCTCTGTCGTGTTTCATCTCGACGCGCGTGCCGAGTCGGTTGGTTTGCAGTCCTCCGAAGGAGCCACACTTCTGACTCTCATGGGAGTAGGAGCCTTTGTTGGTTCAATAAGTCACGGATGGTTCGTCGATAAAGGCTACATCTCGCCAGTCATTGCCTACATCTTAGCCATCCTCGGCAACGCTGTGACCTCTTTCATCTTACCTCCTCTCGTCACCTTTGGTCCCTTGGCAGCAACTTGTGTTTTCTTTGGGTTTTCCACCGGTGTGGCAGAGCCGGTTATCTTTGTGGTTCTTCAGGTTCTTGTTCAACCGTCGGAAGTGGCTGGAGCGACTAGTCTGTTTCTTGTGTGTTGGGGTACTGGGGAAATAGTTGGAGCTACTATCGCAGGTATGGCAATATCAATTATCAGCCCTCGGCACTTGGAAGCAAACGTTCTAATTAAAAATCTCATGTAAAAAATAAAGGAATCAGGAAATACAAGTATTTTTTATAAATTTCACTAAAAACCCTTGAAATTGCATCTTTGGGTTTTAATTAACCTTATTTTAAATGTTTGTTTTGCAATTTTAACCCATATTTAGATCGTTTTCGGTTTTCATGCTAATGCTATTTGCATATTCATGAGCAAAACTATGAGCAATTTATTGCTATGTTAGTTTATGGCAATAATCCAGGAAAAATCCTTTTCACAGAAATGTTCCAAGATAGCAAATTTGGGGTTCACAATTTGAACATAAAACATGCAGCCTGAACAATGTCTTCCTGGATTTACATCGAAGCAAGAGCGCCCTCACTTGTCCAGAAAAGATTGGTCAATTTTCAATGTTTCAAAAAGTGCACCGTTCAGCTCACATAACTAAGAAGATGTCAAACAGTCTTCACACATGGAAGAAAAGTACAGAGATACACAAAAAGTAATTCTAAGAAAAATTCATTTCCTGGTTCCTTTAACTAGATACAATCCTCTGAAATACACCGAAGTTCACTGAGGTTGTGTTCTGATTACTTTCTTGTTCCTGCTTAGATATGTTTATGCCTATGTTTGTCGTTTTGGTTTGGGATTTTGGTTTTGGGCTTTTGGTTTGGTTTGAGTTTCTGTTTTTTGTTTGATTTTACATGAGCACGAGCACATGATATGTTCAAATTTTATAAGCTGCCCCCAGATCAAGTTAGGGCGACGCTCCACGCAGTTGATAGGGGAAGTCATTATTTGCACCTGTTTGGACAACATTGACTCACAAGCACAACCTTATCATTTGTGCATAGTACATGCCATTATGCATATGCATGTCGGCGTGAGCAACACAACATATAGACCCGGCAACGAAGTGTATTCCAACATTCACACAAAACAGATTATTACTGAGTCTCACATACATATTCGTTTTTAAAAATCTTGCGAAAGTTACTTGCTGTAGGAGTAATTTTTTCTGGGCAAAATGGTTTGGTTCGCGAAGCCAGCAGATTATTTTCATAATGAGAAAATAAATACATAACCGCTTCATTATTAAAGAAAACAAGCGTAATAGTATTGACGGTGTGACTGAAACGCACACTGCAAAAACTGTTGTGTTAAAATCAACACTTTTTGGTGCTATTAGATGACCACACCATAGGGTGTTACTTTAACTCCGCTGGTGTTACTTCGCACACCTATAAGTGTTACAATGCACTGGGGGTGTTAAAAGTAACACCAAATAACACCAACAGTTTTAACACCAGTGAAAAGTGTTAGTGTATTCCTCTAAAAACACCGGGGTGTTTTATTTTAAACACCCCAGTTTTTGCAGTGTAACTCGGTCAACATCACATAGGTTTTTACTTAGGCGAACAGGAGGTCTCGTGCAACAAAAGTACTGAGGAACTGGCGGTGGACAAAGACACGGATGGTGGTGGTTACAAAACATAATTTAACTTTTTCTGTAATTTTTTTCTTTCGCTGTTAAAAAAGGTTGGATTTACGACACCCTTGCAAGCTACAACAACGCATACTTCATGTCGGGATCTGTATTTACTCTTGCTGCAACCCTGGCAATCATGATCTACTTCTTAGAAAAAAGGAAGTCGAGAGGACAGAACAGGGAAGCGGATGAGGCGACTATTGAGGCAGAGCGTGCACCTCAAAACCCTGGCAAGAAATCCGGGGATCGCCTTGATGTGAACCCTGAGAGTGGTGTAGTGAATCCAGTGTACTTAGGTGACAGCAACAACGATAATGCGCGTCGATATATATCCCCTGCTGAGAACAGTGCAAGAGGGCAAGATCAGAGATTGAGCCAGGAAGACGACAATGAGTCTTCCTGTTAATCCTAACGGTTGAATCAGGAATGGGGACGCTAAATTGATTATTTTTTAAAGGGGATGCAGAACTAATTCGGAATTGGTGATTCAATCAATGAGCCCGAGCTGGACCAAGAGAGAGCGCAATTTTCCCAGCAAGGGAGGCTCCTTTGGCGGGAACTGCACTTCACTGCTGGTTTACGAATGATTATGAAATGCACGCATTACGGCCGCAGTGCTACTAACAAAATAAAAACTCTCACCAAATTGGCTTTTTCAACGACGAGGGTGCTTCTCATCAAGGTAGATTGATTTTGTGTGCTTCCGTTTAATCACACTTTCAAACTAGATCTTACGAGCTGGCATTTTGTGACAGAGTAGACACAAACTTTTCGACTCGGTTAAAGTCCAGTCCTAATCTAACGCAACTTTTTGGCTGTTCTAGGAACAATGAAAAAATATGCAGTGACGCATAGTGGAAGTGTATTATATTCGGTTTACAATGAAAGATCACAATTGGTACGGAACAAAAGTTTATTTCGAACAAAACTGACACTTGAAAATGTATCCGTGCTTGTACTTTGTGCAATAATCGTTCATGTAAAAACAAAATCCGACGACTTCTGTTGAAAATAACAGACTACGGAGCCGGCACGTTTGAATGATTAATGACTTCCTGGCACCATTCGCCGCCAATTGTAAATATGTTAACATAAAGAACTTTAGTTGGGCAAAATGTGTTTGTCAAACACCTCTAATGTATGTACTATTACATCAAGGTGTTTCCAGTCTTTTCAATAAATAGGCCTACCGTTTTACAAGTTACAGAGCAAGCGTGATTATAACTTGAACACTCGCCCCAGTTACTGTATTATCCTCGCCGATTCAAAAAGGCTAATTTTCTGCAAGAATGCATTAGCTCTTAAACAAATCCTTCACTAGGGTCCAAATTCCTGGGCGATTTGTTTGATGCAATAAAGAGATGACCCCGGCATGGAATTTCATCAAAAGTTGACTCCGCGGTACCCGTGACTCAATGGCGTGATTCCGGCTGCTCAGGTTACACACCTCAAATCACGCTCAGGGGTACTAAGACTGGAGTGCTTGCCCGAAAGCTAGCGATCAAAGTGACAGCAAGATGGCAGGTCTATCCGAGGCATGTTTTACAAATCTATTTTTACGCTTCTTGATGCAATAATATCCGTCCTCATTCCCATCAAGCGACCGACACAGTATTGCAAGACGGACCCAGCATGCCACTCTGTTACTACACTAATTCACTTTGACTAGCTCTGGAAGTCATGCACACGGACGTATATATTGAAATCTGGACTCGCAATACCCTTAATCAGCTTATAGAGATCAATGAATCCACTCCCGGCCATTTTACCGAGCCGAATATAAAGCTTAAGTTCCTGGCAATGCCCGGCTTTGTTCTTCCTGACGTCAATCATGAAGCCAACCCACGCATTTGTATTCCGCTCAGTAAAATGGCCGCTGGTTGGGAAACGCGTTGCAAGTCTAGTTTTTTTTATACGTCCGTGGTCATGCACTGAAGTTTCGTAAGTATTGCACCATCACGGTACAGCTATACGAGACGTGTACACAGAAGCCAAATCCCCACCATGCAAGACTCAAGAGATTTGACCTCAGTCTGTTACTATGTCTGACCTTTGAGCGCGCCATATAAAGGTCTGACAAAGTAATATTTTTTCACGGGACGGAATATGTCCCCACAATGAAATACTAGAGTAACGATTGCACGAACGCGGAAACCCCAAAGTGGCAGTTTGAACCGCGCCGTGAATGACTGTTGTGTGAAAATAACTGAAACGCTGAACATGGACGGCCGAGGGGCAAGAAAGACTATGAAGCGAGCCGATCCACCAGAGCCCCCGGACGGCGGCTGGGCCTGGGTGGTACTAGCCGGTGCGTTCTTATCACAAGCTCTCACGTACGGATACTACGGAGCTGTGGCCGTCTACGTCCCTGTGTGGATAGATTTCTTCGATAGTTCAGCGACAGAGTCGAGTTTGATTGTTTCCCTGTCGTCGTTCTTCATGGGTTTTTTAAGTACGTATATCTGATGATGACTGGATTTAACTAAGGGCACCTTCTTATTTGACTTTTTAAATGCCCTCGTCTAATATCAGATGCACAGCATTTGGATATTTTTAGAAACTTTGAAAACCTCATAATGTATTTTTTTCTCATCGAATGCTAGGTGTGATTGCTGGTGTCTTGATAACTCGATTTAGTGTCAGATCTGTCTGGGTGATTGGGGGCGTGCTGGCCTCACTGGGGCTTCTGATATCAGCTCTGGCCACCGGTACAATTTACCTGACATTAAGCATGAGTTTGATAACAGGTGAGAACCGTTATTCGTTACATCTGCAACCATTACATTGGTCGTATATAAATTGCAAAACAGACTGTGTATGTAAAAGCGCAGCTCCACTTCAGAAAAGGAAACCCTGTCGCCGGGCTGCCTCCGGGAGGAACACAAGTAACACCCTAAACCATTTATCACCGTAGTTCTTGTCTAATGGAAGGTCCGGTCATTTCTTTCGGTCAGCATTATGACACAATGGTAACTAGAAAGAAAACAAAGCCCAACAGTCCAGCATCAACAAATCTCCTTTTTTTACATCATGTGCTAAATTCGCCTCCTGAAGGAGTTAATTGCTAGTACCTGAAACTAATTCAGCCAAATAATATGAATAAACATTCACTAGTTTCAGTCATAGGTCTGTCATATTTCATTGATTCGGTAATTTTCAGGACAGGCATACTTTAAATCGAGGTATTATGCTTTTTTCTCTGTCAACAGCTCTGGGATTCAGTATGTGCGCAAACTGTAGTTTGGTGGCCTTAACCATTTATTTCAAAAAGCGCCGTACTGTCGCGGTTGGCTTAGCTTCATCTGGCTTTGCAGCAGGTCAGGTAGCCCTGACTCCTCTGCTAGACTACTTGATAGACCAATATGGATGGAGAGGGTCCATGGTCATCACAGCAGGCATTCTGTTGCATGCTACTGCTTGTGGAGCCCTCGTACGTCCACTATCGTCCAAGGCAGGCAAACGGACATTGAAGTTGCAGGTGGATTCTGAAACAAAATCGGCAAACGAAGAGACAACAAATATCGGCGGGATGTCTCAACAGGTGAACGAGGAGGGAGATGGTTTTGTTGAGGCACAGTTGAGAACTACTGAGGATTTTGCAGAGACAGACAGCAGAGATTTATCAAATGACGATGTAGGCAGAGTAAGTTTTGACGACAAGGAGATCTTGTGGCAGAAAAATGACAATAGCAACAAAAAGATCACACCGAAACCCAAACCGTCGGTTGGTGTCGCAGACGTTTCCGCCAAGGCGGACGACGCAACTCATGATCCCTATTTCCTTGAAGATTCAAGGGGAACTGTCTCTCCAAAGACCAACGGTGAGATATCAACTACATTACAGACTGACTCAAGCCCACTTTCTGTTAGCCGTTGGAGACTGGGCCTGTCCAAGTTCCGGACCTTCATGTTGGAGAGGTACGGCCTTTCAGGTTTGTTCCGAAACCGTAATTTCGTCTTGACCATTCCCGTCGTCATAGCGCACGGCTGCGGTTGGGCCTCCGTTGTGTTTCATCTCGACGCCCGTGCCGAGTCCGTGGATCTGCAGTCCTCCGAAGGAGCGACACTACTAACTCTCATGGGAGTAGGAGCCTTCATTGGCTCAGTAAGTCACGGATGGTTCATCGATAAAGGCTACATCTCGCCAGTCATTGCCTACATCTTAGCCATCCTCGGCAACACTGTGACCTCCTTTATATTACCTCCTCTCGTCACCTTTGGTCCCTTGGCAGCAACTTGTGTTTTCTTTGGGTTTTCAACCGGTGTGGCAGAGCCATTGATTTTTGCAATTCTACGGGTTCTTGTTCAACCGTCAGAGGTGGCTGGGGCGACCAGTATCCTTCTTGTGTGCTGGGGTACCGGAGAAATAATAGGAGCTACTATAGCAGGTATGGCATTTATTACCTCGAGCTGTCACTCGATGGCAAAATTATTGATTCACCATGAAGTGACAATATCATTCATGGTAACTTGCGAGCGTGCAGTATGCTCGGAATGTTTCGGGTAAGCAAGCCAGATTTCACAAGACTGGTGTTTTGGGCAGTTCTTCTCCTGAAAATGTAGCGCCCAGTGCTATTCGGCTGCGCTCGCCAGCGCATGTCGCCTGCGCGGTGCATACACAGTCCAAAACTGTAAAACCAGTCTTTGGGCAAGACTACAACTGTCCACTATACGTAACTTCATGGTGCAACCGACAAAATTAACTGTTCACGTTATTTGAAATTCAACCCCTCCCCCTAAGTGTAATTAATGCTGTGCATATGGGTCTAATTTAATGGTTCACTTTTGCCGGTGTCCTGGGCAAAAAGTAAAAAGTTGCAAGTAAAAAGTGAAGATGACATGGATGACAGACGTAGTGAAACAATTCTTTTCTTCGAAAGGTTGGATTTACGACAACCTGGCAAGCTACAACAATGCATACTTTGTGTCGGGATCTGTATATACCCTCGCTGCAACCCTAGCTGCTGTGATCTACTGCTTAGAAAAAAGAAAGTCGAAAGGACAGAAGGGGGAAGCGGACAAGGCGACTATTGAGGCACAGCGTGCACCTCAAAACCCTGGCAAGAAATCCGGGGATCGACTTGATGAGAACCTTGAGGATGGTGTAGTGAATCCAGTGTACTCAGGTGACGGCAACAACGAGACTGAATGTTGACATGTCCCTTCTGAAAATAGTGTAAGAGGGCAAGGCCAGAGATTGAGCCAGGAAGACAACGATGAGTCTTCCTTTTAATCCAAATGGATCAAATCAAGAGTTTAAGTGGGGAATACGGAACTGGTTAGGGGGTTAGTTGTTTGGCCTATTGCTTGTGTATGTTCCTGTTTAATCAGTGTCTAGCGACGAGAAGACTGCGTTCAATTCCCAAAAATGTACTGACGAGCTTGCATTGCACAGTTTAAATAGACAGATCTGATACAAGCTTCACGTGTTAAACCTGCGGGAAGTCAAGCCCCTCCCCAAGAAAGAAACCACGTGGTTGTTCCTGTGGACTATTTTCAACAGTCGGTTGTATTGCGCGTATTCAAGCTCGTTTAACGGACACACTACCATTCCAATAGCTTGAAAAGGTTGAATAGAGGTTCCCTGGGAATGCATTATGACAAACTGTAATTTGAATATTGGTTTACCCCTAATTTACGACCAATAGTACATTCCGAAATCTAAGCCCTAACCCCACCTATCCACCCACCACTTAACACTGCAAGGCAGCCAGCAACTCCTGATACTGTTTGTCAGGGTCAGTTATTAGTTTGAAATAGCTTTTGTTTACCTTCAGGGGCTGACAATTCGACAGTGATTGATTGTCAGCAGCAGCAAGACTCACTAAACAAAGAGGAATCAGGTTTCTAAGCACTTGAATGAGGCCTCCATGAATTGGCGGATTACTCAGGATTGATATGGTCTCTGAGTAATTGCAAGATTGAATGTATTATTACACAGGTTCAAATATTAAAGTGTATCGAATGAGTACTGCATGTAACCTCAGCCGTATCGGCTGTATGTCTTTTTATTAATAAAAACTTTACAAAAAGCTGTAATTCCACTGTCGGTCCAGCGGCCGACTTGCTGGCGCCCTTCGCAGTCACTTGTAAATATGTAGACATAAAGAGCTTAGGTATGAACAGAATTTGCTTTGTCAAACACTTCTGGTGTATGAACTTGTCGACTCTATACCAATTCCATCCTGGTCCTGAAATTCAGGAAATAACAACACTTAAATGCTGTTTTGTGTTTGTATTCTAGACCCACGGAAAGCAAGCATTTGTATAAAAAGTTGTACATGAAGAGCGCCAGCTTCAGATTTTGGAAACAGAATGGCTGTTCACTATGCACATAGTGTGCGGCTTTTGTATACCAACTGTCCACGTGCACTGACGCAAACACCTGCCAGTTTGTTTCCAAAAATGCCTAACACTCATTATCACAACTTTCTCCATACACTGCTCCGATACATATCTACATGTATATAGGCTGAATTAAGCATCGTACGATGTATTTGGTATGACTGAAAATAAACCTCTACAAGAATGTCACAAAATAGCTTAGTTCTGAAACAAATCCTTTAAAAATAGGGTCCTGGACGATTAGTATGATGCAATAGAGAGATAATCCATGGAATTTGAATACCACAAACTTAAGGTAGTCAGTGGCGTGATACCAGCTGCACAGGGTATGCGCCTACAGGCAGGCAATCCTGAAGAGAGCGCTTGCCATAAAAGAGCAATTAAGGTGACTTTATCAAACAACAGTGACATAGGAAGTTTATCTGAAATGGCTTGGGTTGAAATTCTATATCCATCCTCATCTCTACCTCGATAACAGACATTGCTGGACAGACTGATGCCAACTTGAACGACCCCCTTTCAGCTCAGGAAGTCATGCATTGAAGTTTTATTACACTGAACTGTACCATCACCATACACCTAGCTGAACGCATTACACATAGGCCAAATCCACCCGAACAGCTTTGAACGGTTTGTACTCTGTGGGCGCAGTACAAAGGTCTAACGTGCACGGATGTGCATTCTTCCATAGCACAGTATATTTTACCCACGTGCACAGCTGAAGCACAAACGCACACCCCAACAAAACTGCACCTTGGATAATTTTGCACAAATATGGCTGACACGCTCAACACGGACACTCGAGGGGCGAAAAATGCTACGAAGCGAGCCCAGCCACCAGAGCCCCCGGACGGCGGCTGGGCCTGGCTGGTACTTGTTGGAGCATTCTTATCACAAGCTCTCACGTACGGATACTACGGAGCTGTGGCCGTGTACGTCCCTGTGTGGATAGATTTCTTCGACAGTTCTGCGACAGAGTCGAGTTTGATTGTTTCTCTGTCGTCGTTCTTCATTGGTTTTTTAAGTAAGTATCCGAATATGACTTGATTTAACTTGAACTTCATTTAACTTTTTGAGCACAACATGCGATGCCCCAATCGCTTTCTTTTAGATGCAGAGCATCAAGAAACTGAACTTGTGTTAATTTTCTCATTGAATGAATGCCAGGTGTGGTTGCTGGTATCTTGATAACCCGATTTAGTGTCAGATCTATCTGGATGATTGGGGGCGTGTTGGCTTCACTAGGGCTTCTGATATCAGCTCTGGCTACCGGTACACTCTTCCTGACGCTAAGCATGAGCTTGATAACAGGTAAGAACCGTTATCCGTAACATTTGGAAAGTACTTCCTATCTACTGATTGACATTTACGAATATTAAACCTGTAGATTACATGTGCAGCTAATAGAAACTAGGTTGTATTGGGCAACCGCGCCAGATGCTTGCACAAGTCCTTGTAAGGCTTCAGTGTACAAAAGGTCATGTGACATGTCAAGATCATACTAAAAAATGGGGGAAAAAGGAAGGGAATGATACAGATTATCGGCTATACATAGAAAATAGACTGCATAGCTCTGAGTTCATAAACAGGTGACCTTGAAGGCTGCCCAATTGTACATCGTCCAGAATGGATATAAGTGGCAACCTACATCATTTATCTTACAGTTCTTTTGTGTATTGGAAAGCTCTGCTCATTAATCTATGTCAGCATTTTGACAGCCTTCTAACAAGAATAAAGCAAATTAGGCCTATTAACCCAGCGTCCATCTTTTTTGTTGACCATCAGCTTAAGTAGCCTGCTGAAGGTGTTACTAGTACATGCAATCGAATTGTCAAATTTGCATGAAAAAAAAAATACTTGTTTTAATCACAGATCCATCATAAGTCATAAGGTTCAAGACAGGGCATACTTCAAATTGAATTATTTTTCCCCTCTGTCAACAGCTCTGGGTTTCAGTGTGTGTGTAAACTGTAGTCTAGTGGCTCTAGGCATGTACTTCAAGAAGCGTCGTACTGTTGCTTTTGGCATTGCTTCATCTGGCTTTGCAGGGGGTCAGATTATCCTGACTCCTCTGGTAGAATACCTGATAGACCAATATGGATGGAGAGGGTCCATGGTCATCATGGGGGGTATTTTATTTCATACCACTGCTTGTGGAGCCCTCGTACGTCCACTGTTATCCAAGGCAGGGAAACGGGCATCAAAGCTGCGGCTGGACTCTGAAACAAAGTCGGCCGACGAAAATATCACGAATATCGGCGGAAATTCTCAAAAGACAAACGAGGAGAGAGATATTATCGCTGAAGCCCAATTCAGAATCAGCGGTGATTACACAGATACAGTTTGCAGAAGATCGTCAAATGACGATTCGGCCAACTTTTGTTTGAACGACAAAGAGATTGTTTTGCGGAAACATGACTATGACGACAAAGATATCCAAACTATGACCGGTGTCGCTTCGGAAAAAGGCTCTGTGGTAAACACAGGCTCCTTTGAGAACCCTGAGACAAACGATGAGGAAGATGTTACTGTTGAGGCTCATTTGAGAACTAACGGTGATTTTGCAGAGGCCAGCACGGAATTGTCAAATAATGATTCAAGCGAAGTATTTTTCGATGGCACGGATATCTCGCGGCAGAAAAATTACGATAACAACAAAAAGATCACATCGAAACCCACACCGTCAATTGGTGTTGAAGACGTCTTTGCTAAGGCGGACAATGCAACTCGTGATCCCTGTTTCCTGGAAGACTCAGGGGCAACTATCTCTCCGGAAACAATTCACAATCAGAAATCACCCACGTCACAGACTGACTCAAACCCGCCGTCTGTCAGCCGTTGCAGACTGTACCTGACCCGTTTCCGGACCTTTATGATGGAGAGTTACGGTCTTTCAAGCTTGTTCCGAAATCCCAGCTTTGTCTTGACCATACCCATCGGCTTAGCGCACGGCAGTGGTTGGGCCTCCGTTGTGTATCACCTAGACGCCCATGCCGAGTCGGTCGGTTTGCAGTCCACCGAAGGAGCCACACTTCTGACTCTCATGGGAGTAGGAGCCTTTGTTGGTTCAATAAGTCACGGATGGTTCGTTGATAAAGGCTACATTCCTCCACTAATTGCCTTCATCATAGCACTCCTCGGCGACGCTGTGACCTGTTTTATCTTACTTCCTCTCGCCACCTTTGGTCCCATGGCAGCAATTTGTGTTCTATTCGGGTTTTCCAACGGTGTGGTAGAGCCATTGATATTTGTAGTTATTCAGGTTCTTGTGCAACCGAGTGAAGTGGCTGGAGCGACCAGTCTCCTCCTTGTGTGCTGGGGTATTGGCGAAGTACTTGGAGCTACTATCGCAGGTATAATAATAATTGCCTCTCAGTTGCTGCTTTTCGACAACAAAACTACAGATTAAAAATCAACTGTTTGCATGATGGTGGAATTCAACCCAAAGACAGTCATTATGTTGCATATGGGTCTAATCTAATATTTTTGATCATGATTGTGTGATATCACATCGGTTTGAACCTTCTGCAGATAAAGGAGGGTGTCATTTGCAAAAGAACAATAAATAAAATAAAATAAAAATAAAACACATTTTCTTAAAATGAAAAAACAATAATAACAGCGCTAGTAAAACATTGCTCTCTTCTTTTCTTTCGAAAGGTTGGATTTACGACACCCTTGCAAGCTACAACATCGCATACGTCATGTCGTGATCTGTATGTACCCTGGCAGCAACCTTAGTTGCCATGATCTACTGCTTAGAAAAAAGAACGTCGAGAGGACAGAAGGGGGAAGCGGACGGGGCGAATATTGAGGCACAGCGTGCACCTCAAGACCCTAGCAAGAAATCTGGGGATCGCGTCAATGAGAACCAAGAGAATGGTGTAATGAATCCAGTGTTCTCAGGTGACAGCAACAACGATACTTAATGTCGACATGAACCTGGTGAGAACAAAGCAAAAAATTAAGAGCTCAAGATCAGAAATTGAGTCAGAAACACAGGAGTATTCCTGTTAATTCCAACGGATCAAATCAAAAGTGCATGATGCTGAATTGATTAAAAGTTGGTGGTTTGGTCTATTGCTCGTGTATGTTCCGGTTTCATCAAGAGATAGCCTCTAATACAGGAAGCAGGCTGCGTAAAATCCCCCAAGACACTGTATCGATGAGCTTGCATTGCGTACCATTTGGGCCTCGTAAATATGGATGAGCTGTCTTCGGACGCTCCGCCCACTTTTTGCCTTAACTTGGCAGGCGGCGGAGCCCGGGGCTCGCCATTTGAAAGTGCGTGCTTTTACATGTACATGCATGCTTTGGTGTGAGCACGGGCCTTGCGAGAAGTAACCAGCAGCAGTTCAGTATTCCCACAGCACATGCCCACATTTGAGTGCCTCGATCTGAGGCCTCATTCGGACTCGCGTGCCCAATCAGCGTGGCCCTACGCAGACTTGCGCGCGTGCTTTGTTTGCGAATGACCTTGCTTTTTTGAAATACCGAACTGGCACATTGTTGCTTGTCTTTGTTTCCACTTTGACCCTTGACCAAGTTGCTTACAGTTCGTGCAGCGTTTTTTACTGTAATGGGGCGACGCAAAAATGCGTTATACTTATTTTGGATTACTATCTGGGCTTCTTCCGCCAATTAGCATTTTCGTTTAGTGTTGCCGTTAGTGTATTTTTCTAAGTGAATAATTTTAATTTGTCACAATATAGTAGATTCTCATGTATGCCTACATTTTACGCAGCTGGTCATTTTCCAGCTGCTAATGCTGGGTGAGTTTGAATATATCTTTAGAATTTAGACCGTGTGTGTTATAAAATGTTATTTGTTATTAATTACAAATGATGGCTTTGTAAAACATGCCATTTCTCTTTTTACTAGTTTGTTTCAGCTGGGATTTTTTGTACTGGGAATTTTCGTTTGCCTGAGACTTTCTTCACACTGGAACTTCTCAGAGCTGGAGATTAATAAAGCCGAGTGAACATCAATTCCTAGTCTTCCTTACTAGAGGATAACATATCAACCTACGTGAGCTAGGGCCAACACACCGCGGACCGACCCATGCGCGCTGCTTCATTTCACAGAGAAAATTGATCTTATAGCTAAACATCTTAATATTGGCTCCGATTCGAAGTAATTTCTAGGGCATTTAAGGAACTATTAGCCTGGACCATACGCGAGGACAAAAATGGAAACATCACACTCTACTTACATTTATAATGCCTGTATGGTTTTTACACATGCTATATTCTGATCGCTGATGGCCTGTTTCTGCCATGCACACTTAGTTTAAAAAAAATGTTTGATGACTTCTCATGAAGTCGTCTTTACATTTCGAAAATCGGCTAAGCACTTTCAGTAATAGTCTTTCATATCCACGTGAGGCAAAACAGGATTACTCTTACTGATGTAAACATTTATTTTGTCAAAGCACTACTAAAGCGTGACGTTGACAACTCACAGGTCCAAGCAGTACTGCAGCGTTGTAAAAATTTCAGGGTCACGCAGTAAGAAGCATACACGTAGGCTTAATTAAAACTGTACAATAATTTTATTTCAAATAATCACTAGTCTCCATGAGTACGTTTGTGAGAACTCATTAGGTGCTGTTATTTACTGTGTACAATATTTATGGCTATCAGAGACATAAAGGCTAATCAATATCCCAACCAAACCAAATCCTGTACAAAGATTCGACATTGAGGGTTAGCAGTATAAACCCTTTTTACTCACGCGACCAAAAAACCTGTTGAATTTGAACAAAGAAAGCAAGCGTGTATGTAATTGCCCCCTGGACAATATCAAGTCAATTTTCAATCTATCCGATTTCTCTGTGCCTACCCCTACTGAGAACTGTGGGATTCGACGTCGGCCACGCGTTCGTGGGTGTGCAGCGGATCGCACAACAAACCCTACAGTTCTGGCCCATTGGGGTTACTCTGCATCAACAAGGAATGCCACATACTTCCCCAAAAGGTACTCATTCTTCAGCGTTTAGCGTGTTACGACAAAATAATACATATTACGTGAAATTCCATCGATAAAATACCACAAAAGGGAAGCACTTACCGGAAGGATTCCAGCTGCAAACGGGAATACATTTATACCTCAGAGCATCCACAAGTTTTGTTAGCCTAATGGAAAGATGGACGCATAATGCAGAATTCACAGCGCTGAGACGCAGGCTGGAGCGACTGTTACCCGCTTACCAACGAGAGAAGATAACTACAAGAATGGAATTTCAAGCATTCGAACAGATGCGGCAGTAGGCCTACTATATTGTTCTTCACAAATTGAATTCAGGCGCGTCGCTGAGCTTCATTCAAACGAGGGCTTCGTTGAAATGCAAATTAGGCCTACACGGCGCGTCAAAAGTTACTCACGTGGGTGGGAAGTGAACTAAAGGTGGCGCTATTCCCATGGCTTCGTTTGGGTTCCGATGTTTCCAAATATTCTGTTGGAAATGATACTATTTTAAACGCCAGTGTTACTTTCAACAGCCTGATATCCCTTTAGCAGAAATTTGAGCTGAAGATTTCTCAAATCGGGAGGCTAAATTTGCGAGCATAATGCTCAAACCATCTTGGGAAATGAAATCTTTCCAAGAATATAGAATTTCGCACCTCTTTCGTCAAAGAAAGTCATCCACACGAAAACGAAGACAGGCATACAGGCAAGAAAACCGCCCAGCGTAACCTGGAGAACGAAACCACCAGCAAGAACCCACCGTGCCCAGCCCGCCGACTCAGACAGTTCAGGCACTGAATTGCTGGTTTTAGTCTCTTTCCTTTTACAGTCCATCCTGGGTTGGATTTGCTGCCCAACTAAGTTTAGTCTCTACAACTCCTGTTGTGTTGTAGGCCTACTATTTTCAGCGGCGCGAATGCCATGGATTCACGTACGGGTACGGTATACAATTGCATGCTGTATGCCTACGTTGCAACATGGCTGCGCAATCTTGACTCTATCTGTAAAAGCCATTGCTGTTATCTTAGGTTCATCAAGTTACGATTCCATTTCTCCCACCAATTACTTGTTAATCACGATGCAGCTGTAAACGGTCATTACGCCATTATGTCGCAACAAATGCGCTCGTACTTTGTTTAAAATGCCATAGAGTAGCAACGTGTTTCACGGCAGATAAAGATGCTAGACTTGATTTCAAGTCGGTAATTTGTTTGATGGGAACCTGGTCGGTGTTCAGCACACGGTAGGCCACAAACATGAAGGCAGCACCGCCAATGAGAATAACTATTGTATACAGGCAGGGACGACTGCTTCCCCTCGGCCCATATCCTCGCAAGCGCAATGTCGTCACTATATCGCACGTACGGTAAGACCAAGGAGGAATGATTGAAGGCACGCACAAGAAGAGACTGAAGCTACTCTAATATTTCTCCAAATGCAATGATCAAGTCTATGGTGAACTTAAAAGGACGTGTAATCGAATGAAATATCCCGTTACTACCCCCAATCTGTAACTCAAGAAAATGCATGAAACGATTGTACTGCTTAATGATGACAAAATCCATCCAGTCCCCTCTGGAGAAGAATGCCCCCTTGCAACTTGAATGCTGGTCGAGTTAGACATTCAAGTAAAACCAAAGGTAATAGATCTCCACCCGAAGAGGAAGCACACCATGCCGATATGCGAACGCATAGAGAATATGAGTGGGCGCGACATCAAAAGCGGTGTTCATATACCTCAACCCCAGGATTAATTGGCCTGCGAGTTAACTCCACTTCATAAACACATTTAATGCATCATTAGATAGATACCTCCGTTCTAGTAGTGTGTAAAAGTAACTGCCGAGATCCGGTCACCAACGAAACCCTGACTGTCAATTCTTTCGGCGACAGCGCCCCCATGAAACTATACGACTTGTATAATCATAAAACATCAAAAGCATAGCTGCATTGTAAACAAGGACGTGTGAACAGTGTCTAATATACTTGTTATGCAAATTCACTGAATTAAGAAATAACCAGAGATGTAAAGTAGGTAAGTTCCTTGTCCATGCCTGATTTCCAGACCAAAGTGAAAGAACATTACAATAATATTACTTAATTCTTTTCTTTTCAAGACAAATCAAAGCAGAATTTGTATGTAGCATGATTTCCATGCTACTTTTACAGAAAAGAATGATCAGAACTTACTGAATAAAAGAAAGGTAAAAGAAAAGTATTTTACCAATAACAAGAAGCCACAAGAATACGCATATTTTTTACTCATAAAATTTCACTGAATAAAGCGTGATAGGACCAAGTCACTAAAATGACATTGGACTCTCAGATATTTCGGTAACACATTGACGAGCAAAACCATTAGAAAAAAATTAGAATAATGTAATAGTAAATTACACTATTACAAATCCAAAATTAAAACAAACAAAAGGATGGTTCAAAACTGAACTGCGTTTCCGTTGAATAGTTTTGTCAAATACAAATCATGTACAAAAAGCGCCCTCTCTTGTTCACACGCATGGTTTCAACCAATCAGCAAGGAGGATTTGAGCCTATATACAGTTGTATGTCCATCAACTTTGCCTGGTGGGTTATTGGCCTTAACAGAAATACAAATGCGCAGTCTGAACCGATAACTTTATTCAATTGTTCTTCATATACCCCCAAAATTGTTCATTCGGCATACTGATCATCAGTTTATTTGATCTTGAGAATAGACCGCAGTTTACATTTTAAAGTCCACACAGATAAGGAAAAAAGAGCTAAATTTCTTTGATAATATCGGCTATCACACACAAAACGAGATAAAATGAACGCCACGAATAAATTTCGACACAACAATATTTTTAAAAAGGAAGTAAATTATTACAGCACTAGTGTCTTGTTTGCAAAGTTAGGTTACTACTTTTGATTTGTCCTGATCTACATCACATCAAACGTACACTGTCTCCTTGAGTATAAAACATTTGGCAGTCGTCCAATGCTCTAGACCTGTATGACATCACGGAGAGGTGTCAGGCCTATACAATCACAGGAAAATTTCTTCAGTGAAATATACCCCACCGCGTCTTGAACATCGCTTCGCACACTCACAATTTTTGCGCCAAACTCTCCGAGCCCATAAAACTCACCATTCGTGAAGAATTATCGATACTACCAGCCAAAACCTTACCCCGCGAGAATTCACGATTGTGCGGAGAACACTGGCCCAAGATAGACTAAGCAAAGTGAACAGGAGTTTTAAAGCCCTGGTCTTTTTAGTCAGTGCTTTGTTCATACACGATAAAGCGCCTTTCCCCACCATCAAACAAAATACGTTCTAT